CAGCACCTTATTGATGTACTAGGAACAAAGGCCTTATGCCAGAAAGTCTATTTGTAAATCTATACCAGTATTGTCTATTTTGACTGGCAGCCCCCTCCTCAAATAGTCCTTCCTGTTGCCCATTGAGCAATAAAATGACAAGGAGATTCCAGAATAAAATGAAGTAGCATTGAACTGTGAAAGCTGCTGGAATATTTTGAAGAAGACAGCACAAAATGCATTAGAGAGAGAAAAAAGTCACGGGGTCGTTCAGGTATATTATATAGAAGAAATTAATAAGACTTGCTGCAGGGGAAATCAAATTAGAAACGGGGAAGTCTAGTTCTCTGATAGGATCAAACACTGCAGCCACGTAAATATAAAGAATGAAAGAAAATGCTAATTTCAAGAAGGCAGACTTTTAATAGTAATGACTTTTTAAAAAGACAAGATGCTTTTAAAGAAACCAAGTTAAAGGAGACTCTGCTGTGGTCTCAGTGCAGAAACCTGCTGAAAAGTGCTGATGGCAAGCAATGCTAAAGTTAAATTTCCAAGGCTACAATGATATTTGCCACCATATTCATGAGGCATTGGGCCTAATAGATGCTCATGTGAAGTGTGCAAGTAAGACCTAAGCACAGCAGCATTCTTGCCTCACGTGGTTCCCAGGAACGGATATTCTGAACCACTAACAATGGTTAGTACTCATGAGCTGCCATATGAGTTCAATAAGCACCCAGCTTTTGCTTTGTGCCTGGGAATGCAGGAAAAAAGATGTGGGCAAAGTTATCTGAGAGGTCCAAGTTTGTGGCTAGTGGGATGCATTTAATTTGCACAAACCAATTTAGGAAAACCTGCATCCCTGACAGTTGACATGCTGGCTAGGACTGATGGGAACTGGAGAGGGCTGCTATTGACATTCGAAGAGACAATGTGTACATTTTCTGACTGCACATCTGATCCATTTATTTCAGTGACTTGTGGCCTCACAGCCCTGCAGCTTTAAATGATCATAACATATAAAAGAGCCTGGAAATGCATCTATATGAAATCATATCCTTTAAAAAAATAATAATAATAAATTATCCAGTTTTGTTTTGTTTTGTTTTTAAACGGTCAGGATGAGCATGTTAATAGAGGTGCCATCTTGTGAATGAGCAGATAAGGAGCCATTTGGTGACTCTGCTGAAACATGATATGATTGTTTGCAATTGCACTTGATTTAGGATGCAACAAACCTTTTCATTTAATCGGTGTAAACCAGATCCTTTTATTGTGGGTTGCTTTGGTTGTGAAACTTGGATACCTGAATAAACGGTCAGGCAAAGAAATTGTTTTAACTTCTGTGACATATTCACTCCTAAAAAACTGAGGGCATAACACACCAACACACTTCGTACAAAACAAATTTCTGCATGATTACTCAGAAGCAAGCCCTGTGTTCAGTGGGGCTTGCTCCCAAGTAAGTACATTTTACATTGCAGCCTAAGCCCTATTGACTTCAGTGGGTTAGTTTTAAGCACTTGCTTAAGTTTCCCTTTGAAATCAAGTGCTTAATTGTGTGTGTGTGTGTGTGTGTGTGTGTGTGTTTTAATTGCATCGTGGCCCATGTTTCCATACCATTACATTGTAAACCATTTCCTGTATTTTGATACATTACTTCTTTATATGTTTTATCCAGGCAGAAGTAGTGTATTTGGCCACAGGCAAAGAAAGGGGGAAGGAATCATTTGATTTTCTTATATACTATGTTACTGTGTAGACTCACATCAGCACAACCTAATCTGAAAAAAGAACAACAAAAAAACTCTTTCCCATTATACAAGTATAATAGGAATGTGCAGTGTATTTTGTTTAATACAATATATCAGGTTCTTCTGATTTTTATAACGTTAAAAAAATACCCAAAAAACCTGAGATAATAGGGCTAAAAATTTTCTGAACTACTTTAAGTGTTTCTACATTTGCTTTTCACTCAAGCGGTCAATTGAAGAAAATAGCTAGCAGCTATTTCTGAATTTTCGTATGCAGTTACAGCATAGAGGAGACATAGAGCTTTGGCAGCCCATTATTTTTATTATTATTTTCATTTGTTCCCTTCAATTCAGGCAACTGAAATGCTGCTAATTCCCTTGTTGGCCATGTAAACTTTCCATGTTGATTCCTCAGTGCATTGATTATGCTCATGAGATGTCTGCTTCATTAAGCTTTGTTCCAGCCAGTTCTTTCTATAACCATCAATATTTCCATTGTGCTGTTCATAAATTGTCATTTCTGTTAATGCCAAGAAGATGTATAAGCTTGTGATTTAAAGCTGTAACTCCCCCCCCCACACACACACGATGGCCTTTTTATTTTAGTTTTCCTTTGTGCCATGCATTGCTCACATCATTGACCAAAGGTGGCCAAATATGGGGACAAGGGGTGAAGACTTAAGGCAAGAAGGTTCAAGGAGGAGCCTTCCATGTTGGGGTGGCTTTCCGGTAGTCTGATAAGCTGCATGGTTTTTCTGTTTAGAGATGCATGAGAAGGGAATCTTTTCCATAGCTATATTTCTCTATTAGGATTGTCTCCAGAGACCAGGTTGGTCAAGAACAGTAGATTGACAGAAATGTTTGCAGTGCTTCTCAAAATTCAAATAGAATTATGAAATGTTTGTGGGGCAGGAAAGAGTACCTGGATTTGAGATTTGGGGGATTTTTATTATTATTATTATTATTTTTCGGCTTGCCATTCTCCTTGGGAGGGCTCTTTTGTAGTAGCCCTAAGCAGACCAGCCTATTATTATTATTATTATTATTATTATTATTATTATGTATTTATTTATACCCTGCATTTTTCCCTGATGAGATTCAAGACTGCTTACAGTTAAAGACTATTTGATGAAGGCAATTTGCATGAATGGAGGAGGGAGAGAGAGAGAGAGAGAGAGAGAGAGAGAGAGAGAGAGAGCAGGAAGAACTCAGGCTGCTAAAGTTTAATTCCTGATGCCCTCTTATTCATGTTACTGCACGGTATTGAGAATTGGTGTTAAAATCACATCCTTGAAGAAGGAAATCTCCTATATGTAATGGCTCACATTTCTGGCACTTGGAGTTGATCTTCAACTCCCCTGCCCCCATCAGTGATTACATTTTTTTATTGCCATTGGTGTTCATAAACAAGGTTGCCAACTTTCCAAAGAAAGATCTTGCAGTTCTTCTGAATGGCATCTGAGGGGACAGGGCCCAGAATCAGTTCAGCTGTGGAGCTGTGGATACAGGTGAACAGTTTTTGTTGTGTCTGACAGCACAGGTTTGGGTAATAGGTCCAGACAGGGCTGACATAAGTATCTGGCATTATTGGGCAGTTGTCAAGGTCCCAATGGCTTGGCAGGACCCACTGCTAATACCAGCCGAGTGCTTCATCTCCATTTTAAAGCTCCCAGCAGTAGCTGCTATGTTTATTTTCAAAAATACTCTTGAGTGATGTGATACTATGGGCACTGTGCAATTCAAATGATGGCTAGACCAAGCTGCCTGGTGCTGCACACAGTATTTGAACTGCCAAGGCCAGATAAGACCCCTAAAAGCTGAAACTGGCCCTAGGTCTAGGGACAGAACCTAACAACTTTGGCGTGTCTAGGGGCAGAGCTCAGATTATTCACCTAAGGAATTGTGGTGTGCTTTTTTAAAAAGAATTTTTTTTGGCAACCAGGTGAAAGCAACGTGAAACCAAATGGTCAATAGAGTTTTTTGTTTGTTTGTTTTCTTGGGGGATGGGAGGCAGGAGAGGACAGGTGACTGGCCATCATGTGCACATACCCAATTACCTCTTTCAAATCCCTTTTCTGGCATGCTGGTCTTAACGAAAGCAATGGGCCAGATGGTCTTAATCTGGTTTGTGTCTCTTGCACAGGAGTAACCAGTAAGTTCACTCTGTCAAATATCCATGCAGCTCTTTTTAGGGCAAATGCTTAAAATAATCTATGCACTTTCAAAATGTATGGGAACGGAATATAAATATAAAGCATTTAGGAGGTGACCCAAAGGCTTTCTGTCTTTCTACTTTTTTTTCTGATTAAAATCCTTTTCTAGCTGCTTGGAGCAGCTGTTTGGGAGCAGCCATCATTATAGCCATACAATTTATCATTATGCATTTTATTTATTATTATGTATATATCCCCATTTTTATCCTCAAAACAGCTCTGTGAGTTACGTCAGGCTGAAAGAAAGGAGTCACCAAGTGGGATTTATGGCCAAATGGGCATTTGAACCCAGGACATGGTGATCCATCACAACAATCATAACATACATTAAAGGGATGCATATATGAATATTCATATATGTGTGTGTGAAATGTAAGTAGGAGTAGGGATATCAGCAAATCCCAAGAAAATAGAAGTGGAAATTTCCACTGTTTGTATATTTGTCCCATGGTTTGGAATGGAAATCAATCTAGCAGAAATACAATTGGTATTCAATGCCTTGTTGTGTTCATTCTGCAAATGTTATGCAATTGATTATGTCCCCAGCCCATTCTCTATTGTGTTTTCTTTGCATTAAAATGAATGGAGAATTGTGTATTGACAACATAACTTACCAAATTCATGTAACTTTCATAATTTTGCCACATCAGACCATGAGACAAATAATGGGCTGACTGAGTTAGGATCTTGCCCAGTGGGAGAGAATTTCAGAGGACCCAGAAGATGTCTCTAGCGGGCTAGAGAGGTCACTGCCTCATCCAGGGGTATCTGATGCTGAGGATTCTGGGTGGGTTCCCACCACTCCATCTGCTCTCACACCTTGCCAGTCCCAATGACATGAGCCACCAGCCCCTTCTTCCCTCTCCACAGCTGCCAGTCAGGCTCAGATGTTTCTATTGGGCCTCTTTCTTCACCCACTCTGCCTACAGAGGTGTGGGACACTGGGTCTAGTCTCTTCAGAGGGGGTACTGCACCTCCATCCTCCACCTCTTAAGAGACAGAGATGTCTTCTCTGTTACCTGGGTCAACAGAGAGGCATGGACAGAAGGATCAGGTTCAGGTCCAGCCTACAATGTGGAGTACCGGATTGCTTGCTAAGGAACAGAAACATTTGCCGTGTTAAGCTGTGCCTGCCCCATTCCTTTATAACGGGATTGCAGGAGATGTGTCCTTGCTTTGAGTAGTCATATCACCTGCTGTGCCTTTGTTTATCCATGCCTTGAGTAGAGATGTGTATTGCCTGCTGAGCTTTTGAACTGTGTTTTTGCATATGTATTGCAGTGACTTGAGCATAAAAGCATTTGGGAAGAATCTTCCATTCAGTTCCAGTTCTTCCTTTAGTGGGAACCAGGATATAATGTAGTTTTTGGTGGGAGTTGATCTGCAGGGGAATGGAAACAACATTGCATATGATGAATACAGGATAGAATGTAAGTATCTGTAAGTAGTAGCAAATCATGCTTGGGAAGGTTCATAGTCATGTGATATAATCCATATATCTCTGTCCTGATCCAAGCATGATCCATTAGATGGGGGGGGGGATTCGCTCCTAATTGTGGAGTGACCTGAATACTCACCCAACCTTAGGGAAGAGTAGCTACTCAAAGGAGAAAACACGTTGCCTTGTATAGAAGTCTTACGAACAGGAGATGTTAAACCTCCTTTCATAAAGGGTTAGGGTTAGGAATTTAGAAGGTGTTGCTGAGTGACCTAAACCACACAGTCAGATTTCTATCACAGAGTGCCTCTCTGCTTGATCTTGGCTATTTATCGCATTAAATTTTCAGAGGAATATAATTTATACATGTTATATGCCTAAGCAGATTTTACTTCATAAATAATTCTTTTATTCACGACTCATATCTCCTTAGCAATTATTGGGCCTTACCTTTACCATTAATCATGAAAAAAACCAAAGTTGGCATTCCCATTGTCCAAATTCATCTTTCTGATCTGTAATTCAGTCTTGTGTCACTTTGCATGACAATGGATCTTCCCCACCCCCTCTATACATTTCCATCTGAACTCCTATGTTTTGAGGCAGAAATAAATGAGCAGAGGTTTTCACTTTGGCCTAAAGTACATTTTGACTAATAGGCCAGTGTCTGGATCTCCACACAGAGCTGCTGTTTATTAAGTCCCCAGAATTTAATCTCCCAAGTCTTTACAACTTTGTGAAAGGACCACAAGGCAAAGGCAGAGTAGTTTATCAAGTTAATTCCCAAACTCCTATAATATTTTCCACCTTTGCTGTGTTCAGCTCAAGGTTTTTCTTCCCAGAGAATAAGGATAGTTGTAAGCTTTTGAAAAAGAAACTCTGAATTCAAAAATAGATTGGAGTGTTGTATGTTTTATTCAACACAGGCTTTATTCCATTCAGATAAATGTAATGGGGTAGACCTTGGCAAGAGAAGGAAAATATTTAAGTGTGTGTGTGTTTTTGTAGCTTAATAACTTTTTAAAGTATTGCAATGATTATGTCAAATGTAGTTGAAGATTGCATTTTTGAGAGTTTTAAAAGAGAAATACAAATCATTTATAATTGGCTTTAAAATCACATTTTTGTCTGATTGCCAGTATTATAACATATTTAGCTCCTCTGTATAAATTATCATAATCAAAGCATTATCTTGCATTCCTATTTGACTACAAAATGCCCAAATTTCTACTTCCTATTTAGAGATCAGTATATATGTCTTATTTGGGCACACAATGTATCTTTTAAAACTTTAAAATCAATGCAACTCCAAAGCTTGCTTCAACAAAGTAAAACATCACAAAATAAACACTGCCCCCCCCTTTCCCAAGCATATATCAGAAAGCCTGGGCACAATAGGAGACAATGTAAGCCCATTATGGTTGAATCCTCCAGATGCTGTATTCATTAACCTTTCCTTTAATATCCTTTCTGTACAATATTTTGATGATTACTGCCATTTAGTAAACAGATTATGAAAATGCAGTTCCCTAGGGCTCTAATTTAATAATTTAGGCAAATTAGTTTGGGTATATAGATATAGATATATATTTTATTTTTTACACATTCTCCTTCCCATTTTTAATCAATGTGCATCTGCCAGCTACTCTGTCTCTCCCAGAATGGGAGATTGCTGCCTATCCCTCTCCCAAGGAACAGAGATCCACACTGAAATGTGCATCTGACAGTTTAGGGTTAAGATATGATTCCAGGTAACAGAAGCCAATGAGAGTACACCCAGTTGATGTTTGTGACATCATCCCCCAGTCAGAGTACATAGAACAGCTGAGGTAGCTTTCAGCTTCAGTACTAGTGCCATTATGATGGATGTTTACATCTCTTCATGAGAGCCAATTATTTTGCTTTTGTGTGAGGCCCAAGAATCACTCATGCTGCCTGCATGCACAAAGCCTGTTGGATGTAGCTGAACGAATTGCTTTCTCTCTACTCCTGTGGTAAGAGAGTCTTTTGTTTTACTTCTTCTTTCTTCAGAAAAAAGAGATGATGGATCAAACCTGTACGGGGAAGGGAACCGTATTTAGAATCCAGGGGGTTGTGCTGTTTTAATATGTAAGCTGCAGCCTTTGTTATGTAAAGAAGGGTGTTATTTAAAGGGGGAGAAAAGCACGTGTGTGGTGTGTGTATGTGTGTGTGTGTGTGTGTGTGTCTTATCTGGCTGACTGGCTGGAATTCTACTTTACAATATAAAATTGCAATGCCAGCCAGTGGGTGTTTTAAGATTTAGCACTGGATTTACGAAGCTGTAACCCTGATCAATAATTTACTGTACTTCTCCCCTTTTTATGTATAGACGTTTAGCATTAAGGGGAAGGGGGAAGAGGTATATTAAAAAGGTTTTGCTGCTATCCACTTGTGCAGGAAGACAGAGAATTTGAGATCAGATCAAACTTTTAAAATGCTCCGGAATAGTTTTGTGTTGGTGTATACTTCTGCATTAGCAGCACAGGCTAATATTTAGATTATCCTGATTCCAAGATTAAGTTGTATGCACTTATTTTCATTTGTTGTGGAATAAGGAAATGAGAAACACACAGATTGTACAACTTGATGTCAGCAATAAAATATTGCTCTACTGTGTGTGTGTGTGTGTGTGTGCGCGCACGCGCTCTCTCTCTCTCTCTAATTACTTTTTTTTTGGTCTGGTATAAAAATGTATAATTGTGCCCATCTTGGGCAGAGTAGAGCTGCTGTTCAGCTCTGTGGCTGTTCTCTGTGGGGTCCTGCTTATACGCCTTCCCTCTTTTGCAAGATAGTAAGCACATGTAAAGCTCCGTAACTGATGTGGATTTAGGAGATTAGCAGTGACACTGACTCTGACAAATCAGATACAATAATGGTTTAATTGACTGAGGGAGTTGAAGGGCTACTGTATGAACAATCCAATAACCAGTTTAAGTAGTCAAATAATGTGCATAATGAGAAGAACTAAATAACAGGTTGAGGTTAATATAAAAGCTGATGACAGTTGTTTAGATGGGAATGATTGGAATCCACTGACTATTTACCACTTAATATCTGTTTTTATTGTTTCTAATTTCAATAATCTCTGATAGCATGCACTCTTAAAACTCATTCTTATTGTACTATTTGTAATTTCATCACCTGCCTACATGTCTCAGATTTGTGTTAAAGTATCAGTAATATAGGAGATGTACTGACTTTCAGTTCAGGAGTTTCTTAAAAGATAATATGGGTTTCTTGCCTATCCTGTACTTGCTTACATTTTTTCTTTTTCTATCTCAGAAGTGCTTTAACAGTAGCTCTGATTACTTACCACTTCTGATTTAGCTCTTTTGGTGCATACATGCCCAAACAATGCCATGTGTGAATGAAATAGTAAGTGAATGAAATTGTAGATAGTCTTAGATTAGGACAAAAACTTCAGTGACTGAACAACTTTTCCCATTCTTTATATAGCAAAAACAATCAAAGGCACTTATGGATGACTATTTAAACACAGAAGACTCACACAACTCTGAAAATGGGAATGCAGATTGAATTTAGGTGTGCAGTGATTGATTCTGCATATTCCCAAATCTCAGGTTTTCTGTGTGGATGGTTACTCCCTTCATGTATCTCTCTCTCTCTCTCTCTCTCTCTCTCTCTCTCTCTCACCCCTTTGGAGATGGCAAGCAATAGTGTAATCTTCATTTGTTTTAAATGGGCATGGGTTCATGGAGACAACCATTGCACTTCCAAACTTAGTCCCTATAGATGGATCTTTTATTGTCAAGCTAAACTGATAATTTCTGCCAACTATACAAATATACAAATGTAAATTTTTTTGTATTCTTTCACATATGCATAGTTATAACACCAATTCTGTATTTGTAAGAACTCAATTGTTTAGTGTTTAGTGCCTACATTTTGGAACTCCTTTACTATTGAGATCCAGCAGGTGCCTTCACTGTGCTCTTTTTGATGCCTGCTAAAAAACAGTCCTGTTTAGATAAGCCAAATACTTCGAAAATTGAGGTGATTTTAATCTGTTTCAGTATTTTGACTTGTGTACGTTTTAAAGTTCTTTTTGATATTATTGTTTTATCTTTTGTAAACCACTTTGAGATTTTTGAACAATCAAGCGGTGTATAAATTTTATGAGATGAATAAATAGAGAACAAACATTTTACTATTCATTGGAAGTTTTAAAATGGGTTAGATGGCCATCCATCAGGGGTTATTTAGCTGTGATTTCTGCACAGCAGAGGGTTGGACTAGATGACCCTTGGGGTAACTTCCAATGTACAATCATTTGAATCTATAATTCTCCAACCCCAAGGGTTTCTGAGAGTGGTGACCAGTTAAAAGAAAACCACACAATTAAAACAGCTAGTCATTAATATATTAAAACTTTAAAACATTGTGTAGTTCTCCAGACTGGGAGAAATTAAGCTTGTTGCCAACACACTCCAAAAATATGTGTGATATCACTTCTTTCAAATTCCTCCTCAAAATCCACCTTTTCCACATCTTTTCCACAGATGTTGTTCTATTATTATTAAATTCATATACTATCCTTCATCTGAAGACCATAGGGAAGTTTACAATCTAAAAACAAGATACGTAAACAAAACTGGGCCCATTGAAAAGGATCTAGATGAAAATTGATTTCCTCCAAGAACTCCTGAATCTGGTCCACTACCACCCATTCAAGAACCTTGCCCAAGAAGAGGAGCGTGACAACTGGCCAGTAATGACTTAGATGTTCCAAATCTAGGGAGGGTTTCTTTAGGAATGGGTTTACCACTACCGCCTTCTAGCAAGCAGGGACCACCCCCTCTCACAAGGAGGCATTAATCACCTTCCTGGTCTAGCCAGCTGTCCCCTCCTTGCTAGTTTTTATCAGTCAAGGTGGGCAAAGGTCCAGAGCACAAGTGGTCACCTTGAATGATCAAAGCACCTTGTCTACACCCTCAATCCAGGTACTCCTGGGCCCATTGCTGTCACTTGAGGCTCAGGTGGCCTCAGTGATGTGAAGTGCCCTCCATCAGCTTTGGCTTGTGATGAGATGGAAATGGGATTTTTCACTGGTGTCACCAGTGTTAAGGAACACACTCCCTGCTGAAATACCAAAGGCTCCATCTGTATTGGCATTCCACCTTCGTTTGAAGGCATACCTGTTTACACATTTATTCCCTTGATCTTTTGACCCAAGTCTCCCATTTTAATTGCTGTGCTGTTTTATTTTGATTGTTTTATTGCTTATATTCAACACGGATACTTATATTTTAATGTTATAATGGGATTATTGTATTGTGTATTTTAATGGTGGCATATTTTAAATTTTGCATTTTCTCAGTTTCTGCAATTGGTTTTTATGTTTTATAAACTGTTTAGAAGCCATATGAAGTGATACGTCCTGTTCCATGACCAATAAGCATGGGACACCTTTGTCCAGTGGCTCCGTGGCCCATAGATTACAGCAAAGTACTGGGCAAGGTTTTGTCCAGTATCTCCTCTGTGTGAAGGGCTCATGGGAAAAAGCTGTCCCATGAGTCCTTGCTGCAGAAAGGAGGGGAAAGCCTATATAAGGCTGCTTCCCCTAGAACTCAGAGCCATTTTGCTTTGAGAGCTTCCCACCCGCCCACCCTTAGGTTACAGCCTTCACTGAGCAATTTTGGGTTGCTGGTTGACAGGGCCTAAAAGGAATCTTTTTCTCTTAACCTGATTGGCACTTGGTTGGGGTTTTTTTCTGCTTTTCCCTCAGTGAAATTATGGCTTTCCATTGTTAGGAGGAAGAACGTTGTTTGTATGAGGGTGGAAATGGCATTGGGCAGGATAAACATAGTATAGGGGGCCTCCCATAAGGGACCTGAGGGGGGAATTGACTACAGCAAACCCAAGCATGGGTTTTATATCTGCCTGGTTGGAATCTGTCCCCGGCCCCCAAGTGAGAACTTGCTTCCTTGCTTGCAGCACGGCAAGGTTCAACACTGGTCAACTCCTGTCATACAGGTTTGGAGTGATCGAGCAGATCCATTCCATCAACATGGGGCTTGTGGAATAAGGAACTGATCCTGGGAGTCAATGCCATGCCAACCCTTGCCTGCCTGCTGCTGTCAAGAAAGAATTAGCCTGATTTTACCCCATCACTGTTGTACAAGCTGGTTATTTTGCTGCTCTCATGGGTCACATAATGTACTTGCCTGGGCAAATAAAGTCATAATCATTCCATGATGCCCACACATCTGTTTCTAAATCTGCAACTCTAAGTAAACTTGCTAATGAGTAAACCCTCTTGAACTCAATGGGGATCAACTTCCAAGGTAGCATGCTTTGGACCATGCTGTCAGTGTACTAGTCTTTTAAGTCATGTGTTGCCCAATCCTCTTGGGATTTATATCCCAGTTGGTTATTCCAAATTGAGGCTGCAGTCCTGTTTACACTTATCAGGAGTAAGTCTCACTGATTATTGAGAAATACCTCTGAGTAAATATGCATAGAACCAGGCTGTAGCTTTTACAAGTAGAAACTGCATGTCTTAAAATATCAGGCACACCTTCAAACCTTTTGCAAACCTTGAATTTCATATTTTATGATATCCATGTGAAACAGGGTGCCATGACAAGGTTGAAGGATATTGACTCACTAAGGCCACTTAGAAAGTTGAGTCCATCTTTTATGAGGCTTTTACTATAGTTGCTACTTGTATCTCTCCACACAGTGAGATGTGCTTGTAACCACCACCCCCTCCTGTATACTTACAATTCTGAACAGGTGTCATAAACTACAGAAGAAATGTGCAAAATATTTTAGATGTTCCACCTAATGCTAGCAGACAGGAGATGATCAATGAGATTTTTTCCCTTCTGTTCTCATCCTGTAGATAAATAATTCCCTGAAAAGTGGAAATGAATAAAATAACACAGTCAAAGCTTTGGCATCTGTCCTGCTCTGTTTCCACGGAATCCATGAAGAGCCACGGTCGTCTTATTGTAAAATCCTATGCTGGCATTTAATGACAAAAGGGCCATGACCAGGTACACCATCAAAGGTTTGTTGTGCTTCTCTAGCATTGACCTTCTCACATTCATAGAACTCTTGGGAACCAGAATGTTGGCGGATTTCACAGCATCCTTACCTATGGTAAGTGCAGGCAGGATCAGGAAGCAGAGGGCAAACAAAAGAGTGAAATGTTAGGAGGAGCAGGAAATGCTAAGGACCATAGGAGCCAACTCCTAGGGACCAAGTCACTTCGCCAGCCCCCCCTCAGTTGATGGACATTGCCATTCTAACGGTGTGTGTGTTGCACTTCTTGTGATTGGTTATGCAAGGCAGGGCTCACCTGGTGCCCACACTATTTTGTTCAAGTTGGCATCCCTGCTAATGACCAATGTCTGAGAATACAGACCAACTAAAACACTCCAAATAAGAGTCACTGCCAGTTCTGTGCTTTTTATTCCTTGGAATTTTTCTGCCTCATTCTTAGGGCACAGGAGAATATCTTAAATGTTGGTGGGTTTTGAGCAACCACAATGAGGTGGCTGTGTGGTGTGTAGCCTCCTTGTTTGTCTGTGTTTCCAGAGCAGGGAAAAAAATGCTCAACTGGAGGAATTCCATTGTGATGTTTTTAACTGGACTCTAATTGAAGTCCACATGGGAAGGCTGCAGATTGCGGACCACTGAGATGAGATAATTTGTAGAGAGAATGGACTCTCACAAACACTCCCTCACAAACAAAGTAAGTGCAACCAATATCCTTCATGTGACCCTTCAGGATTTCACCATTTTCCCACCTCTCGCCAAATGATGATTTTCAAATGCAAATAATTTTCCTCATTAATTGATGGAAAATAGTAATGGAGCAGGGAAACCCTGGAGAATTTTTTGGCAGGGCACTGGTCAATACACAATTAACTTATAAATACACCCAAATACACCTTGTGAAAGGTAATTGTTTATGGAGTGTGTGTGTGTGTGTGTGGTTTTTTTACTCTGTCCCTCTTGCATCTGTGGTAGCTTTTATTGGAATGCAAATAGCAACAACAGTGGCAGCTTCTATTGAAATGCAAATAGCAGCAGATGATGATGGTCATTGGGACCACAGTAAGGGAGGAAAGGGTTAAAAAAATCTGCACATGGCCTGGGTACTGATGGATGTTGTGAAAGGCCAAACTATACAATGGATCTCCAATGGCTGTTGCATTGGAATTGCTGGTGCATATATTTTATACTTGGCTATTCTGGTATACCACAGAAAAATACTATTGGGACCGATTGCCAACTTGCATCATCATCCTAGCATGATTTGGGAATAATTGCTATTTTTTTATAATGGTGTTTCTGCATAGGTGGTTATAGGAAGGGTAGAAGGTAAACCCATTTCTATTGCCCGTGACAGATTAGTGCCCCAACTCCTTGCAGCAAAAATAATAAGATGCAAGGATCTCTACATGTCCTGGCATGGAAGAAAATGCTTGCAAAGTTGGTTGCTAGATGGTAGGATAAATTTAAAAGATGGATTAATATTTTCAAAGTTTGAAAACATTGGCACACTCAGTTAAACTCATAGAAAAATGAAAGCAAACAACTCCAAAATATTGGTCCACAGAAAGGATTCAAAAGACGTATTTAGAACGGAATAGGGTCTGCCTGTCTCTATCTCTCATTGTGTCCTTCAGCCACATAACATACGAGTCATTTATGATAAACAATAATGGTTATCACTATGTGGTGGAAGTAGTTATATCTTTTAGACTTGGCAGATTCTGGTAAACTTGCAAAGGAGCCCCTCCTCCCCACATTCTCATGATTTTTGAAGATCAGTCAATCAGAACATTTGAGCTTGGCTCTTTTATAGACTTGGCTGCTATTAGAATATTGTTTTATGGACTTTAATTGCTTTGTTGTATTTTGACATTGTGTTTTCAGCTGCCCTGGAAATTTATTTTGAAGGGCAGGGTGTAAACGTTTCCCATGAAGAATAAATCAATATTCAAAGAAACACGTTTGATTTCTGAGTCTTACCTGTCATCTATATGTAGACTGAAAGCCTATTGAATTTTCTGTCAGGGTTTTCGGAAGCAAACTGAGAAAATGCTTAGCATGAAGATGTCATCACTTAACGAATCAAATTCTGCAATGTAACTCCTAAATTAATGATTCCTCTCACTATTTACTGTGTATGACTCATGTAAAATAATTGTATCATGAGTTCTGTCGTGACCTCCTTTCTGAAAGCATCAAGAGCCTTTGAGATTCATGAAGTAGGTTTCACAGTAGATGTTATGAATAAATTGTGTAAATAATTATTTGTTTGAAAATATACTGATAAAACTCTCTATCTACTAGAGAAGACTATCCATTAACTAAAGGAACTGGTGATAATCATAGCCTTTGATATTCTTATAGCTCTTTGGAATCATTAGGCTGAGGTTGGCAAGTTTTCTTGGATTCACAATATAAGGTATAATATCTGCCTCTGCAGCATCTCTTAGCTTCCTTTCAGGACCTCAGATATATATAAAATTATAGGCAGCTATTCCAATCCCATATACCACAAGAAAAGATAATAGGAACTAATTACTTCCAACAATACACTGCTTACTGGGGGAACCCCCACAAATAAATAGGACTTCTTACTTCTGAATAGACATGGCTAGGATTGTGCTATAGATGTGTTTTATTGGTAATTTTACTATTCTTTAACTCTCAAGAGGTCTATCTACTTAAAAAGGTTTGCGTTCCAAAGAGAGGCGGAGGTTGCATTCATATGCGGGGTTTATTCTGTTCATTTTACTGATTATAAGATTAGAGCTTCTGTCCCCTTTTCTAACATTCCTTTCACACTGCAGTACCATGTTGTGCCTAATTTCATTCACACTAGTAGGTCCTCCAGTGTGACATGAAAGTTAGAAATCGGGACAGCAGCACTGCCCTTACAACAATCCCCTCTGCTCAACAGCAGAGAAGAGCTATTTGCAGAGCATCCCTAGCAAGATGGTGGGGCAGGGAATACCCTGCAGGTTTGAACAGGAGTGAGGCAAAGGATGACTAGGTCAGAGTGCTTGTTCACTTTGAGGCTGACCGTCTTTTCAGTGGTCATCTTTTGGCACAAGTCTGACAGCAACAGTGAGCTAGAGAAAACTTGGACCCTGTGGCCAGGCCTAAGCAAAACTCCCATGGTTTTCCAGGAAAGGAAAAGGATTATTTCCAGAATCAAAAACATGGAAATGTGTGCTAAACTTGCACTATATTCCATTAAATTTCTGGAAGTGTTTTGTTTGGGGTTTTTTTTAAAAAAAAATCAATAGAAAGATCTAATATAATGCACAAATCAATTGTTTGGGAAATGTTGGGAAAACAGAATGTCTGTGTGAATGCAGCCTGACATAGAGACAGAAAATTGAGACTGGAGGGATACAGTTTTGGATAAATGAAAGACTGGATGAATAAAATTTAAAAGAACAAAAAAATTGGCAGAATATTTCCTTTTGTCACTTGCCATGTGGTTTTAATCTGTTGCCAATACTTTATACAGTGGTACCTTGGGTTACATATGCTTCAGGTTACAGAATCTGCTAACCCAGAAATAGTACCTCGGGTTAAGAACTTTGCTTCAGGATGAGAACAGAAATTGTGCTCCGGCGGTGTGGCGGCAGCAGGAGGCCCCATTAGCTAAAGTGGTGCTTCAGGTTAAGAATAGTTTCAGGTTAAGAACAGACCTCTGGAACGATTTAAGTACTTAACCTGAGGTACCACTGTAATGGAAGTTACGATGAAGATTATCATATATATTTGAGTGTGTGTGTGTGTGTGCGCGCGCGCCCCATGAATGGGACTGGCCCTACCATTAGGCAGGGTGAGGTAGACACCTCGGGCCAAAGACGATGAGCAGTGGGCAGTAGTGACAAGGAGACTGTGTTCTATTTGGCCTGCTCTGTGACCCCTAAGAGACCTTGCTATCTTCAAGTGTGGTGCAGGATACTATTCCGTCATCAGCAATGCTGTAAAATTCAGCTACCAGTTGGGCTGGTTAACTGCTTACATGTTTAGAAAACACATCTTCTCATTTACCTCAGGCAGCAAAATGCATTAAGCTGGCCCTCCCCATGCGGGAAAAAAAAAAGCCAAGTTGGAAGGGAAGGGAAATCCTTCAATTTTGGCTGACAAAAAAGGCACACTGGGCCCTTCCAACGTCAGCTCAGATGCACTGCCCCAAAACGTCAGACACAAAGCCACGAGCAACATGTAGCCAGAAGCCTCGCAACACACAGCTCTGGGCACTGTGCTGCTATACAGCTGTTGGTCCACTACAAAGAGGTCCCCAGAATGCACCAAAGGGATGACGGAACTCGGTATATATACAGGGAAAAAACCCTGTATATATAGAGGAGGGGAAAGTAGAGGTCCTGTCATTTTAAGGACAATAAATAGGTTTAATTAACATTTATCTTAACAGATGCGCCAATTATGATAATTTCAATTCTACTTTTTTATAACAGATTTTTGCCCATACAGTATATGCATGCAGATATCTTTCATAGTATGCTTCTACAGCTCAGAAATAGCACAATAATAATAAATATTCTGTGGCAACTGTCGCTGTGCATTCTTTCCTGGATGCTTTACCTGCCATTATTTTGACCTTCTACTGAAAATGGAAGCACAGGGTTTGGAGATGATATTTAATGAAACAGGAAATAATTATTTTTTTTAAAAAAAATCTTATGCCGACAGCACCTTAACCTTTCATGAGAAATGTGTCTGTCACTGTGACAAGAGTGAATAATATGAATTGTTTCATTAACACACAATTATTTATGTGTCTTAATTGTGTGTGTGTGTGTGTGTGTGTGTGTGTATTTATAGGCATGGGTAATATGCAATCCTATACATGCCTGAGCTCTATGTGACTTGCTTCCAGTACAGATGTGTGTAGGGTTGCCACCTAGAAGTTATATATTTATTTGAATCTAGTACAGAAGAGCGAAAAGGCTTCGACGGGATCATTTATATTGAATATTTTATTTTTATTTTTACTGGATTGAGTTGAAATTGAAGGGAATCAAGGGAGGAGATTTCACCACAACATCCTAAAAGCAGAATTTAATTGACAGTGGAACAGACTACCACAGGAGGGTGTAAGCTCTCCTTTGCAAGATATATTTAATAGGGCTGTCTAATAGGACTTCCACGAGAGGTTGTGGACTCTGCTTCCTTGGAGATTTTTAAGCAGATGTTTGATGGCCATCTGTCATGGATGCTTTAGCTGAGATTCCTGCATTGCAGGGGGTTGGGCTAGATGACCCTTGGGTCCCTTCCAACTCTAAGATTCTATGGCACCCTGATCCAATTTGGGGTCTGATTTGGTGCTTTCGATCAGCTCTGGTATAACCTGGGAGTTTTTCTATCCCCTTGATATTTTTGGTTACACTTTTCTGAACCTTTCCCCAACTTTACAATATTCTTTTACAGGTGAGGTGCCCAGACCTATACATAGTATCCCAAGTGAAGTCACACCATAGATTTATATAAGGACATTGTGGTATTTGCAGTTTATATTTTCAGTTACTTTCCTAAGGAACCTTAGCATGGATTCACATTTTTCACTGCTGCTGTACACTGTGTCAATATCTTCCCTGAGCAATCCACTACCACCCCAAAATCTATTTCCTGGTCCATCACTGCCAGTTCAGAGCCATTATTATATATGTGAAATTAAGTTGTTATTTTCCCCTGGCATACGTCATTTTGCACTTGTTTGCACTGAATTACATTTTCCATGAATTTGCCATTCACTCTATTTGGAGAGGTCCTTTGGGAGCTCTTCACAATCCCTTTTTGTTTTAATCACCCAGAACAATTTAGTATGATCAAACTTTGCTACCTGACTGCTCACTCCTAACTCCAGATTAGTTATGAACAAGTTAACAAGCACAAGTCCCAGTTTCAATCCTTTGGTGATTCCACTTTCTACATACCTCTATTGGAAGAACTATCTTTTTACTCCTACTCTCTGCTTCCCAATCCACAAGAGGACCTCTCTGATTCCATGGCTGCTTAACTTACTAGGGATTCTTTGGCAATGTAAAGAGCTATTTAAAAGTCCAAGTGCAAAACGTCGGCTGGATCACCACTATCTATATACAGTGGTCCCTCTGGTTATGTACTTAATTCGTTCCGGAGGTCCATTCTTAACCTGAAACTGTTCTTAACCTGAAGCACCACTTTAGCTAATGGGGCCTCCCGCTGCTGCTGCTGTGCCGCAGCAGTGCAATTTCTGTTCTCATCCTGAAGCAAAGTTCTTAACCTGAGGTATTATTTCCGGGTTAGTGGAGTCTGTAACCTGAAGCGTATGTAACCCGAGGTACCACTGTACTTGTTGACACTATCTAAAGAATAGTGAGATGGGGCTTACTCTTGCTGGTTTTGTTTTAGTAAGGCTTCTTCTTCCATACACTTGATAAAGTTATCTTTGACAATATTTTCCACCACTTTCCCCAGAACAGACATATATTCCCTCTGCTTATCTTTCTATAATTTTGAATTCTTGAAAAGTATTATTATTAAAAAGTGAATAATAGCACCATGTTTGGGAATCTGTTGTAGCAATGTGCTTTCAGTTATATCATAATAATTATTTTGCCAATATTGTCCACAGGTTTGCCACCTCTAGTCCAAATACTATGATTCTCTGTGGTAGATTTGCCAATATGTGGCAAATTTCACATTTAAAAACAATCCAGTAGGAAGCTATACATGCTACAGTGATGTTCTAATTTGATTGCAACAAGGTCCTTTTAAGACATTGGGGCTGACTTCTAAATAAGCTGTTTAGGATAGGGTGCAAGTTTATGTTCCACAGCTTACCTTACTTAGCACTTAGAGAAAAATATTCTGCTATAATCAGCAAAATGAAGAGTTAATCCCATCACTTCAGTGATAGGGGTCAACACATTAATATTTCAGATGCTGGTTTCAGTCTCTTGATTACATATGATGTTGGTTACTGCAAAAGAAAGATAGATTAATGACTTGGGATACGATAAAAAATTCATCATTTATGCTTGAAGTTCTGGGAACCAGTGGCAGATCAATTAATATTAATGCCCAATCAGAAGCCTGAATGGAAAAGGATTGATTCAAGCTTTGAAAACTGTGCTTGATAATATAACTGAACAGAGAAACTTAATTGAATCTTAAGTGCATTTTAACAACTTTCAAGATAAATGGGGCAGCATGGAAATACTAGATCTGGGTCTGTTAGTAAAAGAATTTGTTCTTCCGGGCAGCAATAAATGTGCTATCATTTAATAGTCTGATGTCTGCTTTTTAAATTTTATTTTACGAAGAACAGATTGAATTTATGAATGGCAAACCTGTTGATTTGCAGAAGCTATAAGTAAAATATGAATACCTACATATTATATTAAGACACGGAACAGTGAAGTGCTTAATAAATTCTGGAAGCACACACACAAAAAGCGCAGGAAGTATTTTCAACCCTTACAGATCAAAGAAACGTGAGCCAGGATCCTTAGAACTGCACAAATTGTCCCAAGTGCATAATGAGTTCCCAAGTAGGACTCTGCCTTCGCATCACATTGGTAAATCATTTCCTTTTTAAAAGGATGGTGGTAGTAAAAAATCCAGTTGCGTTGGGAATGCCCAAGACTTTGGGTGTGCCTCAAGCAGCTTTCTGGATACTCCCCTTCCCAATGTCTTGGATGGAATTTTAAACTAACTGGTAGCCCTTCTTAAGGGAGGTGTCTTCAAAACATCCATGTGAAAACCACATTTTGTTTTTAAGAATAGTAGGGGGAAAACACAATGAGGTGCCATCCAGTGGAAATGAAACACATTTCAAATCCCAGCAGAAGAGATTTAAGCCTAATTCTCTGATTGAAATCAGTGGGCTTTAAAAGTGTTTCATTTCTACAGAATTGTTCCTGGTGTATATTTCTTTTTCTTACCATGTATTTCTGTTCAACACATTGTCTGTCATTCACAATAGAAAGGTGGTCAAGGAAGTGTGAGAATGTAGTAGCTGATGTATTGGAGTAAATAAGGGAGACAAAAAAGGACACCCTTTGTCTTCCACTATCTCTATATGAACCATCTGCCGGTGAGATCACAACTGGAGGACAGGGAAGAAGGAGGAGGCATACACCTGCTTTGTGAATCTTTCTGGAAGATCAGCTTGACTTCTAGCAATAATGATAGCAAGCGTGCTTCTCACAGAGGACAGAGGATTCAGCTGTTTCAAAGGCACTATGGTCCTTTTATATTTCCCCTGAGAGAGGGTGTAGTAATCGTACTGTTCTACAGAACTCTGTTCTACATTCTCTCCCAGCATCTGTCTAGGAGGGGAGAAAAGAATGAATTTGGAGACAGGGCCTATTTATGGCCTGATTTGAGGGTTTCTATATCTTTTAAAAAATCATTTCAACACACTTGACTCTTGTATATCCAACAGTGTTGGTCTGCCTTCATCCTCAGTTCTCGAACTGTTGTATATAGAGGAGTCGAGTGTGCCGAAAAGCACATTAGAATCACACCTCTTCATTTTTCTTCAACAGCATTGTTCAAACTTAGCACTTCAATAATTGTTGCCATCTGAAATAGTGCCAACTGTTTCAGACTTCTCCACAAATCTACAAAAACGAGGGTTAAAAGCTAATGCAGTTGAGCAACCCAAGTAGAAGATATGCTGTTGGGCATAATACTTACCTCCTATGGAAGAATCTACTATCAAGCAATCATAAATATTTGACCATACAAATCTTCTGAAATTTTCGGATCTCCATCTGATTTGTTTATCTAGCCCAACTACCATCTAAGACTGGGGAGGGAAACCTGTGGTCCTCAAGAGGTTGTTGGACTCTAAATCTTACCAGTCTTGACCATTGACCATGCTGGCTGGGACTGCTTGGAGTTGGAGTCCAAGAACATCTGGAAGGTTCCTCACCCCTTATTTATGTTTAGGAAGGTGGTGACCAGGTTTCCCCCCCCCCCCATATTTAGACTATCCTCCTCAGAGAAGCTCATGTGGTGCCAGTTAACATCTTCTATGGTTGTCCAGCATTTCAGCAACTTGTATAGATGTTTTTAATTGTTGCTTTATGACTTTCATTTCTTAATGGTTCTGTGTCCCCATGCTTTTATTGGATTTTTATTTGCTTTATACTTTTAAATGGTTTGCTTCCCTTGGATCTGCTGATGATGAACAGCTAAAGTGTATTCTGTAACTAAGCAATTTTTTAAAGTAATTTATATTTTTTTAAAGTAAATTAAATTGGCTGGGGAATACTGTGCAGAACAGTAATGGGGAGCCTGAGGCCACCCAGATGTTGTTACACTATAGTTCTTATCATCCCTGACCATTGGCCATACCATCTGGCGTTGACAAAAGTCAAAGCACAACATCTGGAAAATCCCAGGTCACTCATCATGGTCGGCCAGCCTGGATCTCAAAGAGATGCACAGAAAACAGGTGCCATCTGTGAGCCATAGGTTCCATGGCACAGAGCAATGAAATTTATGTACACTTCCTCTGTATTCCAACTTAGTTATCAGTGAATATGCAGTCCCATTTATATTTCATACTTTCAGGTTCTCTGTACTATTTTGTAGTAAGTCTGTTTTGGAACAGATATTTTGGATAACCTATTTACTTCCTTGAACTCTCATATACAGGTAATTCTCTCTTACCAAAAATAAGCACTCATCACCGTCTTGATTGTGCCATGCATTTCATGAAAATCTCAGTACAAATAACTGAGGAATTTATTTTTTTAAAAAATAAGATATTCAGCATATGTATACTCTTTGTTACACCACTATCTTCTGCCCCAAGCATTAAATGAAATATTATTAGAAGAAAATTCTGTTGCTTAATGATCATAGAATAGAATCATAGAATCATAGAGTTGGAAGAGACCACAAGGACCATCGAGTCCAACCCCCTGCCAAGCAGGAAACACCATCAGAGCACTCCTGACCTATGGTTGTCAAGCCTCTGCTTAAAGACCTCCAAAGAAGGAGACTCCACCACACTCCTTGGCAGCAAATTCCACTGTCAAACAGCTCTTACTGTCAGGAAGTCCTTCCTCATGTTTAGGTGGAATCTTCTTTCTTGTAGTTTGGATCCATTGCTCCGAGTCCGCTTCTCTGGAGCAGCAGAGAACAACCTTTCTCCCTCCTCTATGTGACATCCTTTTATATATTTGAACATGGCTATCATATCACCCCTTAACCTCCTCTTCTCCAGGCTAAACATGCCCAGCTCCCTTAGCCGTTCCTCATAAGGCATCGTTTCCAGGCCTTTGACCATTTTGGTTGCCCTCCTCTGGACACGTTCCAGTTTGTCAGTGTCCTTCTTGAACTGTGGTGCCCAGAACTGGACACAGTACTCCAGGTGAGGTCTGACCAGAGCAGAATGCAGTGGCACTATTACTTCCCTTGATCTAGATGCTATACTCCTATTGATGCAGCCCAGAATTGCATTGGCTTTTTAGCTGCCGCGTCACACTGTTGGCTCATTTCAAGTTTGTGGTCAACCAAGACTCCTAGATCCTTTTCACATGTACTGCTCTCAAGCCAGGTGTCACCCATCTTGTATTTGTGCCTCTCATTTTTGTGCCCAAGTGCAATACTTTACATTTCTCCCTGTTAAAATTCATCTTGTTTGTTTTGGCCCAGTTCTCTAATCTGTCAAGGTCATTTTGAAGTGTGATCCTGTCCTCTGGGGTGTTAGCCACCCTTCCCAGTTTGGTGTCATCTGCAAATTTGATCAGGATGCCCTTGAGTCCATCATCCAAGTCATTGATAAAGATGTTGAATAAGACCGGGCCCAAGACAGAACCCTGTGGCACCCCACTAGTCACTCTTCTCCAGGATGAAGAGGAACCATTGATGAGCACCCTTTGGGTTCGGTCAGTCAGCCAGTTACAAATCCACTGAGTGGTGGCATAATCAAGACCGCATTTTACCAGCTTCTTTACAAGAATATCATGGGGCACCTTGTCAAATGCCTTGCTGAAATCAAGGTAGGCTACATCCACTGCATTCCCTTCATCTACCAGGCTTGTAATTCTGTCAAAAAACGAGATCAGGTTAGTCTGGCATGACTTATTTTTCAGAAATCCATGCTGACTATTGGTGATCACAGCATTCCTTTCTAGGTGCTCACAGACTGTTTGCTTAATGATCTGCTCCAGAATCTTCCCTGGTATTGACTTTAGACTGACTGAAGCATGGAGAATCTGGCTCTTTTTCTTTCTCAGAGCCAGTACAAAATGACATTAGATGCTGCCTTCAGATTGTCTGTCTGCATAGCAGACAATGATAAAGATAAAGATAAAGTATTATGTTACATTACTGCATGATAATGCCATTGCTATCTTAGGATGGTACTGAAAATAACTTTGGTTATTACTATAACTGCCGCTGTTCTGTAGATATATATATATTTCCATGAATGAGATTAGATGGAACTCACTGCCTGCCTAAATTCTACCTTACTTTACTCGAACACTGACTTAATATACCTTCATTAGATGATGTGCTTTAATATTGTGTCCATAAGCCACAAGTGATAAAATACTCTATTTCATGAAAATTTGGGATATGGTTTGTATTTCATGGTAGACGGTTCTACAAATGTGGAGATTATACAGAATAGTGGAGATGCCTTTTGTTATTCACACTAAACTCAATAAATCATTGACAGAAGAAATTTGTGTCCCAAAATACTCGTCATTATTCCTTTTCCAAAAAATGCCAAATGTGATTTCTGTAATGGCATATTTACGAATCAAAGGGGAATAACCCATGGTCCCAGAAATAAAAGGGGCAAGACACCAGCCATGGATTAAATAAGCATCACAACTTTGTTAATTGGTTTACCTTTGGGGTGGCTAACTTGTGGCCCTCCAAATACTGTGGGGCTCCAGCTCCCATCAGGCCCCGCCAACATGGCCATAGGTCAAGGACAGGCTTCCTCAACCTCGGCCTTCTAGATGTTTTTAGCCTACAACTCCCATGAACCCTAGCTAGCAGGACCAGTGGTCAGGGATGCTGAGAATTGTAGTCTCAAAACATCTGGAGGGCCGATGTTGAGGAAGCCTGGTCAAGGACAATGTGAGCTGCAGTCCAGCATCCTCTAGAGTTGCCACAGCTGAGCCAACCCTAGTTTAAATTTTATGCCATGGGATAACTTTAATTTAATTCTGCATTCCCAACACAAGTGTGGGTATAACCCTGATGTTGAAATGATAGGTGCTACTTTTTTGGCTGCTCCAGTCTCACAAGGTTCAGGGTACCCCAGCCTGGCTCTGATTTCAGGAGTGATGAAGAGGCTTTACCCAGTTCCTTCCACATATCTCATGATGGTTTGTGGTCTTGAGAGCCAAGCTACCACCCACTGAGCCTAATAGCTTTGCATAGGTGATTTCAGACAACTCCTATTCCCCCCCTTCCAAGCCTAGTAGCCCTCAAAACCACATTTATGGAAGCCCTCATTCATCTTCTAAGCCTTTCTGAACCTTGTGCCCCTCCCACACTAGTTTATGATTTATTTAATTTTTCCCAAGTTCTCATGAGCAATTGCCAGCATTGGAGTGTGAATTGCTCCTACACTTGTCCACCTTACCTCAGGATGTGTGTTTTTTTTACATATTGTGTAGCTGGAAACCTGCATTGCAAAATTCAAAGAAGTGTGAATTCAAGTGATGGTTGTGTTTTGGTTTCTTGTATTGTTTCAGAAAGTGCAAATTAGGTAGGTTTGTCTTCAAATGTGAACTGAATCAAATTTCTCCTCTGTTCCTACCCCATGCAGATAGAACACAGTACAGAATCACATGTAAGCGAAAAACTGACACATACGTGGATGAGTTTTTCATACTCTCACTACTTTGTCTTTTCTGAAGTAATTTTTCTTGCTTCACAACTTGAGCATTTTGGAAAGAACCATATGATTGCTGGAGACTTTTGTTCGTGCTGAGAGGCATGTTGGTTTTTTAGTGAGTCAGGCTAGCGCCTCAGCTGTGGCACTCTTATCCATTTGCCACCGCTGATTGTTTTGACCCTGAAAAAATACACCTGCTAACGCTGAAGGGAGGAGATGACCTGTTCATAATCCAGTGGCTCTGTCTTTGCTCCATTTCACACATAAATTAAGAGAAGAGCCAAAGGAAATGTGTCTGAAGCAGGCAAGCATCTGATAAAGGTCAAACCTTCAGAAACATCTTTTACAACAGATCTGGTGCAAGCAATTACGGTGTACCTTTTTATTTCACATACGTGGGTGATGGATGGCTTGACTTTCTCTCCTAGTCCAATCCATCTCCTCTAAGAAAGTACAATTGGGTGATGACAGCACAATGCGAATAACAAAGAAAGAGTGACCCCATCTCTTTAGCTGCGCAGCTAGTCTTATTAGTAAAATTTCAGCAGTGTTGAGTCCCCTGTTTTGATGACATGATCTCGAGGCTCCTTATTGTGGCCAATGTGTCCTCTCAACATATCCTATCTGAGGCTTCTTTAACATTTGTCTTTTCTCCAGATGTTGTTCACTGCAGAGTGTTAGGAATTAATGAATGGAGACTTGCAACAAAATGTAGCCGTCACTCTAGTTTTTATCCACCCACCCAAACAAAAACACAAATTATATGTGGTGCAGTATGAAGAGTAGTTCAGCCCTCAGGCATGTGTGTAGTGCATCTGAGGAAGAGCTCTAACTGTGGATCATCTGTTCTGCATGCTAAAGGTTTCAGGTTCAACCACTTGCATGCCCAGGTAAGGCCGGAAAAGATATCCTAACTGAACCCCTGGAGACATGCTGCCAGAGAGTATAGACAATATTGGACTAGGTGGAGCATTAGTCTGAAGGTATAACACCATTTCCTGTGTTCCTTTGTACACTGGATAAGGAATGCACTTGGAAAGTTCTTCCTTGAATGTTCTCTTGCAGCCATTATCTCTGCCCAGTATATCATTAAAATCAAGCGCTCCGCAGACAAAGCACACTATCACAGTGATGGAACATTACCCTGTGTAGGTAGCAGATGAGTAACCTGCAGACATGCAGCTTTTTCTGTAATTAGATTTTAAACGACTAATGATATATAACTAATACTACAGCAGTCTCCCTCATTATAGTGTACTTTGTTGAAATTTCAAAGACATAAATGCATATTAATTTTGGAATAATGTTTGTTCATTGCAGGGCAACATGATGAAAGAAAACATCAGGTTAATTGTTTTGTCTTGCCAGTTCAATATGCAGGTCACAAATGTCCCCAGTGTGAGCCACTAGTACATGTTTTCTTGACAATGACTTTGCTAATCTCTGGTGATGCACATGAACTATCAAGGGACAATCCTTCCCAATGTGCCTTATAGCAGTACCAATAATATTAATAATAATATAGTAATATTTTTTCTTAGCAAAAAAGGCATAAATTAGTGCTTTGGTATGCCAAAGTGAATGAAGGTAGAAAAGCACTTTTAAAACATTTTTTTTAAAAAAAAATATTCATGACCTGACATGCAGATTTTACATTCAACTCCTGCAGATCCAGATCACCTTTCTCTTTATGCTGGTTGTTGAGGGTGAAAAATATTTTTAGAATAATTATGGCATGCAACTAACTGCTGGGTCCGATAAAATCTTTAGCTGTACAGCATGGGCATGTGAAATGATTTATGATTTATTTTATGCATCTTCTATAATGCATGCTCAGACTTTAAACAGGGAAGTATGAGAAATAAACTTTTAGGAGAGATGTGGTGCAATTCTGTGCATGTTTACTCTGAAGTAAGCCTCATTGAGTTCAATGGGATATACTCTCCACTGCTTCTGTAAGATCCCATGGAGCATAATGAGACTTCTCAGCAGGCATGCACAGGATTGTGCTGTGAGATACACAGTGCTTTGTTTTAGATGTCACACTTGAAAACATTAGGATAGATCTGGAGATATTGACATGCAGAATCCTGTGAGAAGTTACTTGATGTAACTATCTAGGCTGGAAGAACAGAGAGACTATCACTGTGACTGTTTCCATGAGGTCAACACCTGTGTGCATGTGGAATGTTATGGGCAGATCCTTTGGTGTTCTAGCAACAAAATTATTCCTGCTAGAAGAAGGCAATGCAGCAATATTGTTTTTATTTTGCACATAGGGGATTTGCATGTTTAGAATACCTATTCCATGGGCATGACATCCCAAGTGAAAAAGGACTGTGGAGAAAACTCTGTGTGTGTGTGTGTGTGTGTGTGTGTGTGAATATTATATATATATATATAGAGAGAGAGAGGTGACTCATGCCCCCCTCCTCTTTGCAGTGGCGATACCAGGATTCCCCATTAAAGGGGTTGTCTTGAGGGGAGGCTTTGGCCGTACGCCTAGAGGTTGTCGTTGCTTTCCCCTGCGATGGTGGCGTAACAGGGGCGGGCTCTCTCTGCTTGAACATATGTTCTCCAGAGCCAGCCCATCCCCCCCCCCACTGGATAACCCTGATGTTCCCCAGATCCCCGGTGGGAGACTGGGAGGGATAAACACTCAGTGCTTGAGCCAAAGTCTATCCCCATCTGAAACATAATAAAGTTGTGGCCAATTTTAATCCCATAGCACGTTGTCTTGAGTCTTTATTCCGCACGGGGGCCGCCCAGGGTTTGGGGGACTCCGCCTGTCCAAGCAAATACATTACTTCTGGTAAATGAGCCACGATAACCGCCAGAGGGCCATGAAAATGTCTGTACTGGGCATTTTAGACTTGTCTACCCATGTACTATCTGAAACCAAAGGGGCACATTGCTTGCCAGATCTGAAAACATTTTTTCCAGCTCTCCTACCCCACTACTCTAGAAATCCCAGTAAGAAAGACTAGGAGCTGCTACTATACAAACCATATGAAGGAGCCTTTGGCCATCAAGCCAGCTCACAGCTCCCCTGTCAATCAAGAACTCAGGCAAAATGTTTCTCTAAGCTTTGCTACCTGAGATTCTTTAGCTGGACATGTCAAAGATTGAAACTGGGACCATGTGCAAGAAAAGTTTATGTGCTACCACTGGGAGATGCGTCTGGCCTGCATGAGAAATTAATGGGTAGAGCTTTGAGGTTTTCAATCTTCTCTAGGTTCCAGCAGAATTGAATATTCATTTAATGATAACAGATCTCCCCTTAAGGTTGTTCATTCTGTGAAACCAACCTTTGGACTAATAAGGATCATCACCTCTTTCTCTTTCATCTGCAAAATGCATGTGGATAATGAATTTAGAATAGAAATATTGGCTACATGAATTGTTAGGTTTTACTGCACCTGTGGCTGAAGTTCTAAGGAGCATTTCACTGGCCAGAAAATTGTAATAAAATTTCTGGAGCATAAAAACAAAGTGAAACTTCTAAGCTGGAACATCACCACAACCCCCCACCCTGACTTTTAAGTTATTTGTCTAGGAAAAACTGCGCTGAATGCCCCCACCCCTGCAAATAAAAAGCTGGTGCTTTATTGCAGATATATTCTGCTACAAGTTCTTGGTGCACTAGTTGTGCATTTGTGGTGGATTTATCCTGCTTTAGTTTGTTCTGTGATGCTTCCACAATTCTACCCATGATTGTTGTCCAGAGGGGCTAAAGTGCAACAAAAGAGGGCCAAAAATAAACCAGAATGTTTGTAATATAAAAAGTTATGGGTAAACTCATCAGAAAGTTAGGGGATTTGCACTGATTGGAAATGGACTTGGGATAGCTCAGTGGATGGAGCATGAGATTCTTAATTTCTGGGTTGTGGGTTCGAGTTCCACATTGGGCAAATGATCCTTCCATTGCAGGGAGTTGGATGAGGGGACCCTTATAGTCCCTTGCAACTCTACAAAGCCATTTCCCATTCCCAGGGAGATGTCATTTCGGGCTGGGAGCAAGCCCTCCCCACCTGCGCAGGGCGGGATCGCCCCTGTGCCATTGAAGAAGAAGAAGAGGAGGAGGAGTTTGGATTTGATATCCCGCTTTATCACTACCCTAAGGAGTCTCAAAGCGGCTAACATTCTCCTTTCCCTTCCTCCCCCACAACAAACACTCTGTGAGGTGAGTGGGGCTGAGAGACTTCAGAGAAGTGTGACTAGCCCAAGGTCACCCAGCAGCTGCATGTGGAGGAGCGGGAAAGCGAACCCAGTTCACCAGATTATGAGTCCACTGCTCTTAACCACTACACCACACTGAATGGTCCTCAGCCACGCCACCCTAAGGCCGTCCAATTCGGACGGTCCGGGGACGTAGTGCGGGCTATTTAAACTGCCCATGGCCGAGGACTTGCCCCTGTTTTTCTTCCTGCTTAGCCAGTTCTCCTGCCCCTCCCTTAGACTAGGCTCTTTTCTTTCTTCACCTTGCTATGGACCTTGGTTGGTTGTCCAAAGGGCCTGGTAGGAATTTTTCCACTTGGCAAATTGGTACTGGCCATTTGGTTTTTCGCCTACCTTGTAGCAAATTGTCGCAACTTTGTAAGCTTTGGCTGTTAGGCATTGGAGTATTAGGTTGAAGGGGAGGGGAGGTGGTGGCCATCACCTACCCCTCCTAATTCAAGGGTATTCTGTTAAAGGAATCTAAGGGTTGTGGTCTCCATCCAAAGCCCCAGACGGGGGGCTAGGGCCATGGCACAACCCCTAGCAATGACCCTGGGGGAGTCCCTAGTTGATATGCATCAGCAGGGCTCCCCCTACTGGTGGTTAACCCTTCCAAGACTCCTGCAGATGGGCAGGAGTCAGATATAGTTGTGTGGTTTCCAATGCCTAAGCCAATACCACTCACATTCTGTAACCAATAAGGTTTTGGCCTTTTTTCGCCCATTTACCAAAAATACCACTGGGCAACAATTTTTTTACTTTTTGAATGTTGTCTAGATATCTACAACTGATTTAGGGTATTTTTGCACTGCTGAATCAGGAAATGGGATCCATTTCTCTCCATCAGGTCAGGTTTTTGTGTTATGTTGATTTGAAAAAAATCAGATCTTGTGACAAAATCGATTACATTTTTGTGGCATTATCAGCTGATTTTTGTCAACACATATCATCCTAAATATGTTTTTAAAAGAAAAAAATGTTTTTCCAACAACATATATTGATTACCTGATAGAAACATCGATTACTGTAAACTGAATGGTGGGCATTGATAAAGGTAAGTACACGTAAATTGCATGTTGCTTCACCATTTTTCAAACTTCAGGGCTTGAACTTCCGTTTCTTGAAACTCCTGGAATGCTCAGCAGCAGGGAGGTCTCTCTTCAGAGTCCAACATTAGTCAGCCATCATGACTGTGTCCCAGCGACCCTGATACCTGGTCTCCATCTCTTTCATGTCCTGATGGAATCTCTCCCCCTGCTCGTCACTCATTGAACCCAGGTTCTCAGGAAAATAGGTAGTGCATCTTGTGAAAATAGGTAGTGCATCTTGACGCTCATGTTGCAGCCCAGGTTTCTGAAAGCAGTCAGCATGTTGTTGACAAGTTCTGCGTAGTTTCTGGCCTTATTGTTGCCCAGAAAGTTCTTCACTACCAGAACAAATGCCTTCCACGCTTCCAGTTCCACTTCGTTCATTGAGTTTCCGAACTCTGGATCTCTGATGAGCTGACGGATCTGAGGACCGTCAAAGATGCCAGCTTTCAACTTCTCCATGGTCAATCCTGGAAAAGCCTGGCACAAGTAAGTGAAGCAGTCACCATCCTTGTCCAGAGCCTTGGTGAACTGCTTGATTAAGCCGAGCTTGATGTGCAGCGGTGGGAAGAGTATTCTGTCTCTGTCCACCAGAGGGTCGTTGATGACGTTCCTTTCTTTGCAAGGCACCAATTCCTCCTGCACAGGCCAGTCCTCCTTCGTGTAATGCTGAGCACAGTCCCTACTATCCCACATGCACAGAAAACATGGGTACTTGGTGAAGCCAGACTGTTGTCCCAGCAAAAAGTTCACCATCTTCAGGTCAACACAAATAAACCACTTATGCTGATCATAACCAATTTTCTCCAGCACATACTTCACCACTTCATAGTTCTCCTTCAGTGTAGTCGAGTGAGCCAGGGGTATAGAGGCAAACTGGTTGCTGTTGTGTAGCAGAACACATTTCAGTGATCGTTTGCTGCTGTCAATGAACAGTCTCCAATCTTTGGGTTCGTACTGTGGCACTCCAAGCTTGAGCAGAAGCTGCGCAATATCTGCACAGTACACCAAGTCCTTCCCTTCCAAGAAAAAATGGAGGTACTCTTGATGCCTGTTGCAGAAGATGCTGATGCGAGCACTGTCAGAGAGGAGATTTTTTTCCTTCAGTCTGGATGCCAACAGTTCGGCAGAGTCCTTTGACAAGCTGAGGTCACGAACTAGATCATTCAACTCCTTTTGGGAAAATGGATGTGGAGCATCATCTTCAAGAACCACTTTTTCTTCTTTATGTCCTTCAAGACTGGAGGCATCTTCATCACTAATGTCAGGAAGTTCTCCGAAGATAGGCACTGGAATTTCATCACAATGAGCTATAGAACGACGTGCTGATTGAAGATCAGGATACTTGAGGCTGCTCCGGTTCTTTCTGTTGATCCCAGTCACATCAACAGCGCAGAAGTAGCAGTCAATGACATGGTTTGTCGGCTCCCTCCAAACCATGGGAATTCCAAAGTTCAAACTCCTCTTGCCATTGGTCCACCCACGTAGAGTCTCGGTGCATTCCTTGCACACCATGTGTGGCGCCCAAGCTTTATCCTGGTCACCATGTTTAATACCAAAATAAGCATGGTAAGCACGCCTTATGAAACTTGTGCACCAATTTATGGAAGATTTCGAGGTTTTATGACTTCAAACTGATCCCTTTTCAACATAATCACCCAGAACTATCGGACCTGAATACTTCTAATCATTAAAATAATCATTTCCAATCAAAACAATTATTCAACATGGCATTTTACCCCCACCAACTTCTTCTAAAATGCTCCACACAAGCGTACATGTGAACAAAAACGTAAAAACAACAACGTGGCCATAGCTCAAAAACTTGACCTGACTGAGCAAAACCAATGTGATTTTTGGATTCAGCGCATCAGATTCGTCCTAAATCAACTGAAAAAATGCAGACAACAAATTTGTTGTTGACCAGTGTACTGTTTCATGTGTCTTTATTCCACTTCCTGGGAGGGTTTGGGACCTTGCCACACAATTCTATGATTCTATGAAGCAGTGTGACCTCCCCTAAACCTCTGCAGGCACAAACAGCACTGAAAGTGGAATTACATGTCACTGCCCCAATAACCTCATGAGCACAAATAACCATGAATGAAAAGGATATAATGTCTGTAAGTGTGTGTCCACGTCCTGAAACAGATATTACACTGCTTTATATGTAGGGGTATACTCTGTTTAGCGCCCAAAATCTTTCTGATATAGTTGTATTATTAAGAGGGTTCATATCACAGCAACAACAGCTTCAGAAAGCATGATAATATGTTGGTATCAAATGTGCATTAGGGATGAACAGACCAGTCTAAGTCTCTCCCATATCTGTTTTGTTGGTATTCAGACATAGATCTATTCCATTATACTTCTTGCAGACTCTCTGAAAAAGCTGCAAGTAAATTATACACATTTTGTGCACACTCTTTCCCTAGAACACAAACAATTAAATTCATTTCAAAGCTTTTCAATGCATTTCCCAAAATATGCATTATATGGACTTTTTAAAATGGTTTTTTTTAGAACAGCATTTACAACAAAAACTTCACCACAGAATTCAGATAAATGTGCAATGCAATCGATAGTTGTGTTCTAATTCTCAAGCAAGTCTAGGAAATTGAATTTTTTGGTCTACTGAGAAAAGTCCAGTAAGAAAAGTAGAGTGAATTGTTTCCTTCCCCATCCTTAGTATATATGCTGAGACAAGCAATCAGTTTACAATATTATACCAACTCTGAAGGTAAGAAGGTATAGGATTGCTCTATGAGGTGCCATAGTTCCAAATAGAGATTTGCAACAACAACCATAAAATTGGCTGTAATAGAATCAAAGAATTGTAGAATTGGAAGGGACGCCAAGGGCCATCTAGTCCAACCTCCTGCAATGCAGGCATCTCAGCTAAAGCATCCATCCCACCTATGCTTAAAAACCTCCATGGAAGGAGAGTCCACAACCTTCCAAGGGAGACTATTCCTCTGTCAAATAGCTCATACTCCCAGAAAGGTCTACCTGATGTTTAGTTGGAATCAACTTTCTTGTAATTTGAAGCCATTGGTTTGAATCCTACCCTCCAGAGTAGAAGAAAACAAGCTTGTTCCCTCTTCCATGTGACAGCCCTTAAGATATTTGAAGGTGGCAATCAAATCTCCTCTCAGTCTCCTCTTTTCCAGGCTAAACATACCCAGCTCCTTCAACCATTCCTCACAAGGCCTGGTTTCCTAACCCTTGATCATCTTTGTTGCCCTCCTTTGCACTTTGTATATAGTGGTATTGAGAACATAAGCAATAACAAACTTCTCAAAGTGCTGTCTATGGGTTTTGGGTTTTTTTATTCCCACCCCTTCTGTACTAAAGGATAAAAATCTATTACATGAAATGCCATTGCAGCACAGTGTGATAGTATACCACTTGTATTTACTGTGTCACTTCTAATTTAATTGGATTTGACAGAAGGGTAGAAGATGTTTATTATAGCCTGCTTTCACATTTTGAGTTTGAATTTCTGCATTAATGGATTCGTCGGAAGCAGCCTCTTTCGCTCCACATGGAGGGATTGATCAGGCCTTCTCTATGGATGCCTCCTGATGGTGACCTTAGCCAGGAAAAGCAGCCTTAGCAGCATGGTGACAGCAAAGGGCTCAGTTCCATTGCTGGTCAGACATATAGGAGAGCATGTTGCTGTAGCCTGATTGATCTGTCAATTTAGATCAGTAATGCTAGATACTAGAACGGCAATGCTATCAGGAAATCTCTAGTAAATTAGAAAGATAACCTCCAGCCACCAATTTATCTTGGTATCTAGCACAAATAGCTAGTGCTAGTTCAGCTATTATCAAGGGTGGGGAAGAGATGGTACACAGTCCCCAGAGTCATCTCTGTCCAGGCAGAGTCACTTTTCAGTAATACATAAATTGAACGCCTTTTTATTTTCTGAAAGACAAAGTTTATAGACCTCTTCGAAGGCAAGAGCAGGCATTTCTTCCCCAGCAGTCAGGCAAGCTTCACCAGCACTAAAGGAACATACCTTTTATTGACTCACAGCAATCTGAAATTTATTTTCATCATGAAGTCTTGGGCATTCAGGAATATTGAAGGAGCAGCACAGTTGTCTCCCAATACTTCTATAGTTAAATGCAGTTGACTTCTAAATGAAGATTACCAACTCCCTCCTCCCCTGCTATGTCTCTTCCCATTCGTTGAGCAAATTGAATTGTATTTGGGTTTCTTTCTCTTAACGACAATGGAGGATGATGTTCTCCAGATCTTGCAAGGGTTTATTGACAGAAACTTGGGATGGGAAGTAACAGGTCCAGAGGGTGGATGTGGTCCACCAGTCCTCTCTGTCAAGCCTGCAAGACTATCCCCAGGCCACCTGCCTTCCTTGGATTGATTCACACCCTTGGAGAAATATGTGTGTGTGTGTGTGAGAAGTGTGTGCTCAGAATTTTGCATGGATAGAATGCAGCCTACTGCACAAGTGTAAGACACTCTAATTGCCCTGTCCACTTTCCCCCTCCAGCCCCACCCACATTCATGCAGCCCCTGGAAGGTTACCCACAAAGGAATGTGGTCCTTAGACAAACTGTCATGATCCCTGAATCTAGCATCAATGCAGACACAGAGCTGGAGGTTGCAGGGACACCAGCTAAAGAGCAAGATCAAGTTCAGGACTCTGAGCCAGCTGCTGGAGATCAGGAGAGCACTGTGCCTGAGGCTCTTTGACAGGAACCACAGGAAGAATCTCCTGGACGACCAGAACCTGTGGGGTCAGATCTTTGCAAGTTCCTGGCCTGGAGCTTGTGCATTGCCCTTTGTCCATGGGGAGCACTTACTGCGGTATTAGAAGCTCAGCAAGGGTGTACTCAGGTTGTTGACTGTTATGTACTGAGTTGAATAGGATCGAAAATGCAGCAGTCTGATTGGTCCTAGAACAATGCAGCAGTCTGATTGGTCCGCAGGAGCCACCCAATCCAGCTCCAGGTGGAAGTGAATCCACAACCTGATTGGCCTACAGGAGAATCCCGGAATCAGCCAGTCACATGCAGCCCATTCCATTGTGTAAATAATGTATGTAACGCAGATATTGTGGGGGAACTTCCATTCCTCCTCACCACTATGAGCTGAATAAAGAGCATGAAATCCACTCTCAGTTCCGAGTATATTTCATTGACCTAACAAGGATCCAGGTGAGACTTACAGGCTTATAGCTCACTGCCAGCTCCTCTTCTTCCTGTTTTTCTGCTACAATGATCTTACCCCTTCTCCCATGCACAGTCTTCAGTTTGATGAACCTTCTGAGGATAAAGCCTTCTTTCCGTCAAAAGGGTCTCCTTCACAGGCTCTGGGTTTCCCACCAGGTCCACTGCCACCTTTACCCTTGAGGTCCAGGGGACAAAAGGAAAGATCAGCTGTCAAGGGTTAGTGGGTGCCCGAGGGCAGCTTTGCTTGAGATGAGGCATGTCAGGCTGCCTTGGGACTGTTGTAGGATCTTCCAGCTTCTCAGAAGTAGAAGTAAAGGATATCTTGGAGGGGAGGTGAACTTAAAATGGAACTCATCCCTTTAAAAAATGAACTCTCCTGCCACAGAGATATCTCATTAAGCATGTGATTTGCCATTGTGTGCTTGGAAGCCAGTGTGGTGTAGTGGTTAAGAGCGGTAGTCTCATAATCTGGGGAACCAGGTTCGCGTCTCTGCTCCTCCACATGCAGCTCCTGGGTGACCTTGGCCTAGTCACACTTCTCTGAAGTCTCTCAGCCCCACTCACCCCACAGAGTGTTTGTTGTGGGGGAGGAAGGGAAAGGAGAATGTTAGCCACTTTGAGACTCCTGAAGGGGAGTGAAAGGCGGGATATCAAATCCAAACTACTCTTCTTCTTCTTCTTCTTCTTCTTCTTCTTCTTCTTCTTCCTCTTCTTCGTTTTTATTCCCTAAGTAATAGCTGGAGGAGTATTCCACATTGGGATCAGGGCATCGTGGCAGATGGGAGGAATAGGGACTTAAGAGTCACAATTTGGCCTGAGCCTCCCTTTCTGCAGCCACTTTGTCTCCTTGGGGTGCAGCTGTCATCGGTGAAATTAGCCATTCTGAAGGAACTGGTCCAAACTGAGGCCATGATGAGGCAGAGGGTTAAATTCCTCCCCAGTCCAAACCACAGACCAAATTTAAGTTTGTCTTTTTAGCTCTGGAACACAGATAAAGTTCTTTATAATGTCTAGCACAGTGTTAAATATCAGTAGGACACCTCTAACAGTTGATGACAGGTTACTAGATTTTATATTTCACTCTTTGTTACTTTTCTAGCAAAACGTTGCGCTTTTAGATTTGGATTCATGTAGGATTTGATACTATGAATTTTACCATACTTGGGATTTCACAGTGTTTTAGGTGTGTTATCCTCCCACATCACTCTCCACTGCTAACTTTCTCAGCTGGATTCCAGTATCAGATTGCTTTGGGGTAGGGGGGAATAAAAGGCATAAAGTGTGTGATGAAATAGTTTTAGCAATTTGCTCCATCCCCTTGTTTTTGTAGTGCACATTATATAATGTATATATTACACATTGCTAGAGTATGGATTTCTTTAATATAACTATTATGCAATGAATGCAAACATCTGGTTTATGGTCTCCTTTTCAGCAAGGATTTGTAGGACTGGGCAGTTTTTCTATTGCTCTCTTTTGTTCTGTTTGCATTTTGCTTGTTACACAAGTGACAGTCAATTTATATCCTTAGTTGCTAAAATTTGGGAGGACGTATTGCAGCCTGTGCCCTGAGACATCCCCCTCTCTGTTTAGTAGCCTTGGTGTATCCCTCCCACATTCTCTGTTTAGAATCCCCACGACCCACCACACAGAGGCAAATAATGCACCCACACACTATACAAGCAGGGATGAGTGGAATTAGATGGTTTCACTTTGTGGCGTTTGGGCAGAGAGGAAAATAGAATCCTGCTGCCCTGCCCAAACTCCAGAGTGGCTTATAGAATATGGAATCTGGTCTCTGTCATTGACTCAGCATCTATGCAGGAGCATTTTCCTGAACACTTGCTGGATGCAAAGGTTCTAGCAGTACACCAGGCATGAAGAACAATTTTCAGTCCAAGGGCTGCATTTTCTAACATGAAAATTGTGAATGGGGCCAGAGACAAAAGGTGGGTGGAGCAATGGATGTGACTGCATAGTAGGTTACATTTTAGCCAAACTAAAGTCAGAGATCTATGCAGTTCACAGGACTTGAGAAGGACATGAAACAAGGTAAGTGTAGGGTATGGACTAGAAAGAAGGGGAGTGGTTCTGAGGCCATGACAGAGGAGCCCAGAGTGCTTCATTTGACCCCTGAGCCGGAGCTTCCCTACCCCTACATTAGACCCTACATGCTGGTGGCCATGCTGCAATAGAGTGAGAGGACCATAGTCTACCATCCCTTCACTGTGCACACATTTTCCCGCCTGTAATGCAGAGAGCACTCCATGTCCCAGGATGAGGTCTCTGATCCAACCAGATGGTAAGGTTGCTGGTGCAGCCCAGGTGGCTGCAATAGATTTCCCTCATCCATCTTGAAGGTTAACTGCAAGCAGATGACAATAGTGAGGTTGTAGGAGTAGGAGAAGCAGTAGGTCAAGGAAGCTCTTGGTGGTTTCCTCACCACCACAGCTATTTCATGGACCTCAGTATATACCCAACTATGCCAACCTCTGTAGCTAGCCCTAACTGGAAATGTGGAGGGTTTTCCATTTCCACTTGGGTATGATGCCTGCCTGTAAAAAAGCCTTTTACAATCGCTATCTTGTTAGGCTTCAGAAGCAGCACGTTACTAGGAGTAAACAAGATGCAAGTCCACCTTTATTCGGCTTAGTCCTGCCCACACTTGGGCTCCAAATAAAGATTTCTATAAAATAATGATTCCATTCAACTAAATTACGCAGAGCGCATTGAGTGACCTTTTCCAATTTCCAATTACAAACCTGTCCATTTCTAGAGTGTTTTCATTTACTTTTCCTATCCTTAGCTTCTCTTTGTCAATCAATTAAAAGACCTGTTCCTTTGTTTCAGGCTCTAAATTAACTGTAATGTTTACCAGGTTTCATTCAGACCTTGTGCGTTCTTTTGCTCATGGTAAATTGTACATTCAGACTCAAGTTTTCCTGCCATGCCAAACTTAGATTATATATATTTTTAAACACACACACACACACACACACACACACACCCTGCTCCCTCTTTTTGTCTCACTCAAAGTAATGAAATCCAAATCAGCAGCTACATCTACAATACTGTCAAGCTGTGTTTGAGCCATGGCACAGATGAATGCTTGCTAGTCTCACTACAAGATGAACTAATATTTGGAGTTCCCTCAGAATCTGCTGTTAGTCCATCTCATCAAGTGTCATCTCTTTCAAGGGGGAACTCTGCAGCAGCAGAACAGCTCCTCCAGCCTTCCAGCATTAGGTTGTCTTATTTTTTTTATTGTTGGATAGAAGCTATGATTACTGTCTGAGAAAATGTCATCCTTTCTGCTGTGAATCAGCACAGAAATGGTGTGGCACCTGAAAGGTCCTACTTATTAGATGACTGGGAGAACTGAAAGGGAGAAGCTGAGGTTCAGGGGAATCTTTTATCATCTCCAAGAGCAGCACACATGAATGCAATGCATAGCCGAAGATCTACATTTCGGAATACAATGAAAATGGGACAATGGATGACATCCAGCATTAGGCATACACAGAGTAGAGCCGTTGAGTCTGCCCTGAGTGAGATTTAGTTGGAATCACCCACTATCTTGCCCACACATTGTAACTCTGTTTAATGTACCATGTACCTGGGGAGACAAATAAGCAGAACTTCAGATCAAACATAAAATAAGAAAAGATATCTGGAAGTTTCTAGGGTGGTGGCAACCTACCTGAATGTGACTTCAGGATGTGTGCATAAATCATAATGTATGCCATTTTTGCACTGTCCAAAAGAGGGACTATATATTTCCACTGTGGTGAAACGCAGCCACATAGGTAATTCAAATATTTATCAGTGGAAAGTCGTGCATGCTTCTCCCTAATTTGGGTGCAAACAGGAGGTGGTGATTGTTGCATCCTTCAGTGTTTCAAGCCACCCTGAATTTAATGTATAGCAGTAGAACATTTTTTGAGGGGAGCAATATTAAATGGATTGCAAATAGCATAGCTTTGCTCGGAGCAATGAGAATACTGCCAAACGTAGGGGGGTGGAGATAAACATTCAGTGTGAACAAAAATATTGTAAAGTCTATGCTTGTATCTCCAGAACACTTCTGACCTCACCAGGTATCTTGTAGCAACCCATTTGGTGGTGGTGGGGAGATCATTCTGTGTCTAATTTGTTAATTGCTGAATCGGAAATGATCAACTCACATCTCACAATTGTAAAAATGCACCTTCACTTGTGATCAGAAAGGTTTAAATAAATGTTTCAGTGGTATAAAGGTTTAAAGGGAAGAATGAAGTTTCAGGCTGTAGGCAAAGGGAGTATAGTGGTGAACCCGAATCTACAGACTGGAATTAATTGTCCTTTAAAGAAGTAATAAATGAGAATTGATGAAACAACAGTATGGGAATGAACATAATGGAGCGTTGACATGTTGGTGCATCTGTCTTCCCAATCTAAAGAAGGATGTCTGCATTGATTTAGCAGATCTTCCTTGGTTTACGTAAGTGCAAGTCTGATGTTTAATTCAGAAGGAAGAAGAATGCTAATTTGTGCAAATTTTGTCACTGTGTACTGTTTGCTTGGTTTTTAAAAACACACAGACACACACATCAGCAAGAGCCAATTAAGTATTCCCTGGGAGGAAAATAATTACATGTTTTTCTTCATTTAAAAATAAACTGTAGCTTACGCCTGCATTTTGGTATGTACTGTAGTTCTCAAACAAAGGAATTTCAACAAATGAAGCATTTTTTTCTGAGTGTCAGCACTTTGACACTTGCCCTACCTAGTTTGCTTTCCAAATTCATCCCCAGTTCTGCTAATATAATGACTACTTTGCACTTCTACATTCTTTGCCTTACAATGTTTCTTTGAGATCTGGTTCTGGTTGGAGTTAGAGATGGAGAAATGCCTTCTCTGCTAATGATTAATTACATCTTGATTTGCTACCTGCATTTTCCTGGCTATCTTTCTTCTGGTATCAAAGTGAACTGAAATTTCAACCATTTCTCTGGACAAAACCTAATTATCTATAATACAATTACCACGCTGCATCCTCACCACCTTCATTGTAAGAGCGCTAGACCCAGCCAGAGAACTGTAAGCCCAAGCCTAAAAACAAAATCTATTTTTATGTTTTGCTCTGAATACCAGCTCTGGATGAATAAGAGATGACTCCAGAAGCATTTTAAGCAAATGATAGGTCCCAAAAGGTATAATTTCATCTGCTCTGTGTCCAGCATTTTGAATAGGATTCTTCTTTATAATTACCATAGCAATTGGATTGATTTTATGATTTGAGACTTCACTATTTAATATTCTGTATCAGGAAAAGCAAAGATTTTTCAAGGAACAATTGCACATCTCCAGTCTTGAAGCTTTATGCCTTTGTTCTCTCCAATGCAATCCTTTATTGCAAAGCTGCCTTTCCCCCCTGTTCATTTGATCTTATTCTGACACTTTTTCTTTTTTTTTTTACGAGTGGGTAGCCACTGGACACTTGCTATTACCACAGTTGTGAAGTGTTGACTCTCAGGTTTGAAATGAATGCATTAACTCCTGTTGCAAGCTCATTTCTCTCTCTTTCTCTTTGAATCTTTTGTGGCATCTCTGTGACAAACAGTAACATGCTCTGCTATTGTGAGGGCAGAGTGAAGCAACACAGTGGGAAGCTTGGAAAAATATTGTGGAATTAATTTTTATTTCTAAAGACCTTTTAACTGGCACTCTGCACCCAGAATCCATAAGTACATATTGATCAATTTCTGTTCCATAACCCATTAGTATGGCCTCAGTTCTGTGCTTTATGGATTATATTTTTTAAAAAGTATGAAAGATCACCTTTAAATTGTACACATTTTGTATTTATTTTATTAAGTTATAAATTTCCTTTTACATTCATCTCAGTGTGTATGATTTTTTTCTTAAGAAAGTACAACCATACCTTGGTTGCTGAACGCCTTGGAACTCGTACGTTTCGGCTCCCAATAGATCGAAAACCGGAAGTGAGTGTTCCAGTTTTCGAATGATTTTTGGAAGCTGAATGTCCGGCATGGCTTCCGTGGCTTCTGATTGGCTGCAGGACGCTCCTGCAGCCAATCAGAAGCCAAGTCTTCATTTTTGAACAGTTCTGGAAGTTGAACGGACTCTCAGAAAGCATTCTGTTCGAGAACCAAGGTATGACTGTATAGAAAACAACTAAAGACAGGTTTAAACCAAAGGAAAATACCTTTTCATCCAATTGGAAAAGATTATTGAATCAAAAATGTTTTCAGTTGTTTCTGGAAAGTACACAGTGTGGACACCTGTTGTATCTTGATGGAGATACTTTTCCATAGAAATAGGGGTGCAACCCTGGAAGCCCAGCCCTGAGTTTCTGTGGCTTCTAATATTATGGAGAGGTGAAACTTACCTGAAAACACAGGTTTCCCTTATATTCCTACTGGGAATATAAGGGATAAAACAGACTCACTGTATCCATTTAACATGCATTCTTCTCCCTTAAATACATGTTCTTGTATGCTTTGCAGTGTATTTCCACCTAAAATGTACATTTTTGAGCTGAACACAAAAACTAAATAGAGCCTGCTGGATTAGGCCAATTACCCATCTCGTCCCCCTTGCTGGCAGATGGCATTATCCCTGCTCCCACAATCCCAATCTTTTTTGGAAATTTACACTCTTCCTCCCCCCATCCTCACTCCATTCTTACCAGGGAGAACCGCTACAGCTATCATTCTGAAATATGGCAGGCTTCGTACGCTTAGAAGGGGCTGCCATGCCTGTAAACTGAATCTAATGCTGGCAGAAAATAAAGATGCTTTAAAACAAATTGATTTTAAAGGCGTCCCTGGATGAAAACACCTGTATGTCTCTGCCTACAATTTGGCAGCCTGGATCCACTCTGGATGGCCATGTGTGCCTGTAAATGCCATCTACTTTGAAAAAGGGAAAACAACATTTTTAGATTCCCCATTATAGTGAATGGGGGGGGAAATATCCTAGTCAAGATAGATTCATTATTATGATCTTCCCTGTGCTTTCAGTTCATTAGCAATTTCCTATTTAGACACAGTTGTGAGAGTCTCTGCATTGCTTTTGGATCTGATTTGTTTGCAGTTTCATCCGGTACTATAAAAAGAAGTACTGGTGCCTTTTTATTCATTGCAAAGTTTCACATATGCTTGGCCTTTATAGTGGCAGGCCACGGGGAGATAATGTATTCTCTTCTAAGAGCATTTTAAACACATTGGCTCACAATTTATTTTGTCCTCTGACACCAAGACATCGCAACACATCCCATTTTCACTTCTGCTTTTCTTTCCCCAGAAAGCTCTCTCTGTGCTTGAGTGAGCTGCATAAACTTCATTCCCCCAAATGGCTGGAATTTGCAATCTCTTCACATCATCATGCTGTTAAATGATTTCAATACGCATTCTTACTGGGACATCCAACTTCCTATGCCTGGATGCAATGGAGAAATACAACCATACATCTAGTTAAATAGAAATCTATGCTTAAGCCTTTGAAACAGATACACATAAATGCTTGAGGACATTACCAACTTTAATTGTACAAGTGGTATGTGACAGCCTGCTATTTTGCAGCTCCGAGAGAGACGTTTTTGTACTCTAGACATGACAAAATCCTGCCCGGCTCTATAGCTTATTTTCCACCTTTTGAATATTTGACAATTTATCACTGCTTATTTGCATTCAAGAGATGCCTTTTTTTTACCACTGAGGCAAAACCAGGGTATTAATTGGGATTTTTATTTTTGCCGCATGTAGATGTCTACTCTAAATAAGGGGGGGGGCTGGTGCTTGGAGGAGAATATAGGTCAATATCTTTGGTGAAAACGCTGAGGTCATGAGGGGGAGAGAAATAAAATGAATTTGATGTAGGGAATTAGAAACGGCCAGCCATAGTTTGGCTTTTGACATTTTGCTACATGTGGATTTCAAACAAAAAAGTGGGCATACATAGCTATTCTAAAAATAAGATAAATACTTTTTAAAAGACAATACTCTAATGACGATGAGAAAAGTCGATTTAGATCATCTGTACATGAGCTGTGTGAATAAGCAGCACATTCTAACTTGACAGAGCAAATACAGTGTTACCTCGGGTTACAGATGCTTCAGGTTACTTACGCTTCAGGTTACAGACTCTGCTAACCCAGAAACAGTGGTTCAAGTTAAGAACTTTGCTTCAGGATGAGAACTGAAATAATGCTCTGGCGGCACGGCAGCAGCGGGAGGCCCCATTAGCTAAAGTGGCGCTTCAGGTTAAGAACAGTTTCAGGTTAAGTATGGACCTCCGGAACGAATTAAGTACTTAACCCGAGGTACCACTGTATAGAATGCCTCTGGATGCTGTCTCCATGTGCTTGTTCCATGCCGGGAAATGACTGTATGTAGAAGCTCACAAGTGGCTCTACCATGTGATTTGTACCTTTGCAAGTAAGGATTATTTGGCAGCAGCCTGGAAATAATCCTCACAAAGCAGTGGCAAGTCTATCTGCCATGAAGACTGGTCTATTAGGGCAGAGGGGGGACCACCTTCAATCACCTCCACCTGCCTGCCTGCCTTCTTCCTCACACCCAGTCCTGGGAGTGGCATTGCCTGTCAGTTTCCTTCTCCTTAGTCTCATTGTTGCCCCTTATAGAACTCAGCAGGGAGGCGGATGGGGACAAAATTAGAATTCAGTTGGCTCTGCTTGTCATTGGCTCTAATTCCACCTACAATTGCATCACATTCACACCATTCATTTAAAGAATAGTGATACCGCTTTTGCTAGTCATGGTTTCACGTAAAGAATTCTTGGAGCTATAGCTTGTTAAGGGTGCTAAAAGTTGTTAGGTAAAGGTAAAGGGACCCCTGACCATTAGGTCCAGTCGTGACCGACTCTGGGGTTGCGGCACTCATCTCACTTTATTGGCCAAGGGAGCCGGTGTACAGCTTCCGGGTCATGTGGCCAGCATGACTAAACTGCTTCTGGCAAACCAGAGCAGCTCACGGAAACGCCGTTTACCTTCCCGCCGGAGCGGTACCTATTTATCTACTTGCACTCTGACGTGCTTTCGAACAGCTAGGTTGGCAGGAGCAGGGACCGAGGAACGGGAGCTCACCCCGTCACAGGGATTCGAACCGCTGACCTTCTGATCGGCAAGCCCTAGGCTCTGTGGCTTAACCCACAGTGCCACCCGTGTCCCCACAGCACCACCCGCGTCCCTAAGAGTTGTTAAGAGACCCCCTATTCCCTTTGCAGCACTAGTTTCCAGAGTGGTTCAACAATCGATCCCACTTCCCAGGGAGCAGTTTAGGATTTTTCCCTTTTTAATAAAAACCTGCAAGCCTTAGTTTTTCAACTGTCCAAGAATTGTGAGTGTTGAAGTTTGGTGAGTGTGTTAACATGGCTGCTCGCAGTGTGCACAGATGCAAATGCCTGCAGGTGTAACCCAACAGAATTGAGTTAGTCATTCAATTTATTTTACAGGATTGGTTCCAGAATCAATTGCACACTGGCCAATGACCATGTTTCGAAAAAATAAGCACAGGTAGGTTTCCTCCTGCAAGCTATGCACACCATATGTGAGTGTGGGTCTTGACATTTCATAGCCTAAAATAGGAAATGCTTGCATTTTTTATATTTGATGTCCTGGTTATTATGTATTTTGTATTATTTATGTACTTTGGAAGGCATGAATGTGCCTTAAATACATGATGTGTATGCAGCCTTACTTTCTTTTTGTTAATCCAGTAAAATAAGAGCAGATTATGAGTTGTCTTTGTGTGTTTCTGAAAAGATATAACAAGAGTATTATTACTTTATATATACTTCCATATTCATAGCCTAGCATGCTCCTAGCAAATACAAACTATTTAATTAGGTTCCCCCCCTTTCCTTTAGCAAATATTAAGCTACTTCTTCAGGCATTTGATAATATATGAGGATTTGTCAGTCACTTTAGATCACTCGCATGCAATGAGCAGTCTTTTTCCTGCAGCAGCTGAGCTTCCTATGGGCGCCTTCAGCAATGCTTAGACATTTCAAATGTGGTGGCAAACTGCATTTCACATTACTGTGAAAAGCTTCTTATGAAATGCATGAAATCAGCAAAATAAACTGGGCTCTGGTGGTTTTCGGTTAATTTAAGGTGGTATTGGGTGCATTTCTCTCTCATTCACCCTGTTCAGTTATTTTGGTCCATCCTAGATGGCAATGTGCACTCTAGTCATAGCCCCAGTGTATACCCAATAAATGCATCATGGGGACTTTGCACATAATTGATATATGCAGAAAGGGACCCCCAACAGGGAGGGAATCTTGAAGGGAGCATTTAACAGAGAGACATTTAGAATCTTTTTATTACTGCAGGTGGATGTTGCCATATTACTTGGAATACTTGTGGTAGTGACTCCATTTTGAATTATAACATCTGTGTTAACATCAAATACTAACTGTGCATTAAGAATAGAACTTGGACACTTTTAATTCTCAGAGGTTGCAATTGTACAGTCAATATAACAACAACAACAACAACAACAACAACAACAACTACAACAACATATTATTTATACCCCACCCATCTGGCTGGGTTTGCCCAGCCACTCTGGACGGCTTCCAACAAAATATTAAAATACAATAGTCCTTCAGATATTAAAAGCTTCCCCAAACAGGGCTGCCTTCAGATGTCTCCTAAATGTCTGGTAGTTGTTTATTTCTTTGACATCTGATGGGAGGTCATTCCACAGGGAGGGCACCAGTACTGAAAAGGCCCTCTGCCTGGTTCCCTGTAACTTCGCAGAACCTTTTACTTGCTTTACAGTTTCTAATTTTAAAAAATGCAAACAAAAAGAAAGAAATAGGAATGGTTTGAAATCTGGAATATACTGGAATGCGAAAACCTATCTTGAAAAGTTTGGGGAATAGTGCGAGCAAAGTCAAAGGCAATGCTCCAAATGATCTAAATAGAACGGGAGGCAGGGCATCTAGCAGATTTTTTGAAAGTGTTACAAAAAGCAACATCTTAATACCATAGTTAATTTAAATTGTTTCTAACATCTTCTCATCCACGAAGCTCCCAGTCCCACTCAATAATTTACAAATTGCAATCCGCACTAGTTCTATCTGTCCAATTTCATTTGTGTCTGGTTTGTGATTGCCACTTACTTTCTTCTCCAACCTTTCATCTTTTCACTTTGAAAGTGTCGCTCTCGGCGCTGTGTTTGTTGCTCCAATTCAGTTTTCCAGGAACAAATGTTGGTACTTAACAAGAGGACAATTCACACTTTCCCCACAGATTGGCTATATTTCTAAGCCATTTTCAACATTGTGAAATCTTAAGAAGATTGAGGAGCAACTGAGAGATTTATACTCATTCCAACATAAATTCAAATGCACATGAAGTTTATTTCATTTTACATATTTATTTCATTTATTTCCCACCTCTCCAAGGAGCTTGAGGTGGCATACCTAGTTCTCCCTCAGCTGCTTTATTCCCCACAGCAACCCTGTGAGGCAGGTTAGGCTGAGAGGTAGTGACTGGCCCTAGGTCACCCAGTGAGCTTCATAACTACATGGGGATTTGAACCCTGGTTTCCCAGGTACTAGTCCAGGACTCTAACCTCTGAACCACTGTGGCTCCCTTGTTGTCTGGGGTGGGTGAGCATGGAGTACAGCTGCTGTCCTACCATGCAATCAGTAGTGTGTTTGTGCAGTTCTTCAGATAAAAATCATTTAGAGGTTCATCAGCAAAACAATATTAAAAGCATAAGAATCTGCAGCAGATATACAGTATCAGATTAAAACTATATAGAACTCAACACACACACACTCACGCAACATAGCAATAACACAAGCGAAACAAACCAAAACTTGGAATACAGATTATCAGTTTGTTGATGACATTTGGTTTAGTTAAAGTACACCTGCAGATACATCAGTGTTGGATTAGGCCTCTCCACAATGACACATGTGACATAGGTGGATGTAGTAACCTAAATAATATTTAGGTGGCACTGTCAAAGATGTTGTAGGAGCTCTTAATTAGCACTACTGTTACAAGGAACTGGGTATGTGAGGAAGTGCTAAATGGCAGCCACCAATTAGTAGCTATCAAGAGGAGATCCTTCAGCACCTGCATATAAATTTAAATTTAAAAGAGGGGAGCTAGATGCAATGGGAAACCTGCCTCCTGATGAATTCTCCACATACAAAACCTCCCACCCTCCAAAATGGCCCCAGGTTTTCGGCTTGTTTCCCCTGTTCAGTTTGAGCTGGAAGTTTATGCCTAGAAAATTCAAACTCATTACTAATACAGGCACGCTCAGTTGAACATTGTATCCTGTTTTTTTTAAAAAAAATGAAAATGGCAAGGATGACAACAGAAAACCCTTTCATGGAACAATCACCCTGACCACAGGGTATAAAATCATACTCTGCTATAAACTTGGTAGTTGTATTAATGGTTATTTATGCTGTGCTACAAAATATTATGATAGTCAGTAAATTATCAGTCAAACAATAAAAGGAATGTATTTATGTAAAGGGTTTTTTTATTGACACTTTTAAATGCCAAATCGTAGTCCTGATGGAGTGAAATGTTATGCTAATAAAGTAACCGGAAAGGGTGAAGCCCACAAAGTTAAATATTGTGCTAAAACGGACTCTGTAGAATAAATGAAAAATGAGTTTTGCCTGTTGGCAAGGATTTATCCACACCAGGGTGTTTTAGGTTTGAGGGGTTTGGGGCAAAGTGACCTCTGGTGACCTCTGTCCTCGACTCCTTGGGAATTTCTTGGTGGCAACTATCAGAAGATAATGGAGTCTAGTGGATGTTAAGCCATGGGGGTAAGGCTCAGTTGCTCTCCTGGCTTCCCAAAACAGTGGGTCAGACACTCCTGCCACATGTGTCAGGGATTGGACTCAAGAGGGCAAGATGGAGGAGGAATGGTGGAGATAACCTCCCCTCTTCTCCTGACGCTGCAGGAGAAGAGGAATGCAGCATTGAATTACATTGAATTCAGGAGTTTGAAGAAGATCACAGCTCAGATAGGCGAACAGAAGAGTTGGGAAGTGTTAGCAGAAAGGGAAGGGGAGACAGAAGCAGAGCAGCCAGCTGACACATCTTCTTCAATAGTAGTAGTAGTCGTAGTAATTTATTATTTATACCCCGCCTATCTGGCTGGGTTTCCCCAGCCACTCTGGCCAGCTTCCAACAAAATATTAAAATATAATAGTGCATCAAACATTAAAAGCTTCCCTAAACAGGGCTGCCTTCAGATGTCTTCTAAAAGTCTGGTAGTTGTTTTTCTCTTTGACATCTGGTGGGAGGGCGTTCCACAGGGTGGGTGCCACCACCGATAAGGCCCTCTTCCTGGTTCCCTGTAACTTGGCTTCTCGCAGTGAGGGAACCACCAGAAGGCCCTCTGCGCTGGACCTCAGTGTTCAGGCAGAACAATGTGGGTGGAGACACTCCTTCTGGTATACTGGACTCATTGTTCGTTAACAGGAACAAAGGATTCAGAGACAATTGACCATGAGCAGCCACCGTAAAGGGAGGTACTGTTGTTAGGGAGGAGGGAGGAGGAGACCAGTTGGAGCAACAACATTGTCAGGGCTTGATGTGTTCTTTTGTCTCTCGCTATTATGAATGTATAAACTCATTAAAAAGGACTCTAGCTTGCTTTCTGGTTTTCTGCAACCAGGGGAGGAATAGTTTTCCCTAAGTCTCGACAACATGCTACACAGCACCCAGCTCCCTGCACCTTTCACCTCCCTTCTCCTTCTTGGTAAGTGCCAGAAGCCTATTGGGCTGGGAAGCAGCACAGCAATGGTGCCCCGTCCTCACTAGTCACCACTGGTGTAGCCCAATGGTGAGATGATTTATAGAATGAAAGGAACGACATGCACAAACAGTCCTCATCTAACTTAAAAGTAAAGGAAGTGCTGCTGCAACAACAACCCCATTATAATTTTCTCTCATCTTTCATAATGTTTGAATGCATTTTTTTCTCTCATCAATTGACAGGCAATAGTTGGGGGGACAGAGTGCAGGAGAATTCTTCAGCACAGTACTAATTTAATGTTGTTGTTTCACCAACACTTGCAGCATTAGCACGCCAGAGATCTGTGGTTCAGGCAGACACCCCACTGGTATAGTTGCTGAGAGCCAACTTTAAATGAGAATGCCGGCATGTGGTATACTGCATGGGTAGGGTTCCCCCTCCCCCCTTTTCTCCTTCTCTTCTCGCTTGCCTGGCATCATTTTGAAATTGGGCTTGCGATAGACTTTACATAGTACACTAGGGATGTGTAATGTTAAACATTAGGGGAGTATAATTGGATGAAAATGTATTAAATTGCTACTGTTTGGAGTTTGCATCACTGAATAGCAACAAACAAAGGCTGAAAATGACGGATTAGTAGGAGTAGCTTGCTGTGTTTACCATGAATTCCCAGCTGGACTGTGCAAGCTTTGAAAAGTGAATTGGAGTTGGTGTTGCATGAAGTTTTTATTTATTTAATTACTTTAAAAGAATATTTATTTATTGTTGTTCCACTGCTATCCATTGAATTTCATGGCTGAATCAGAACTTGGATCCAGATCTATTTGGTCGAGAGCCAGCACACAACCAGTTCCATGACACTTTGCTGTCGAGTGTTACAACAAAATATTGGTCTTCTTGTTCAGTGTACTGGTGCCTTTACTTAAATCTGCAAAGGAAGGTCTTCTGCGTTTTTCAAGATGGAACTGGCACTAGGATGATGGCTGCACCATACAGAGGTCCAGGTATCATTCAATTCAGCAAAATAATTCGAAGATATACAAGAGTGTGTGTGCGTGTGCGCACGCAAGCACTAATTTAGGGGGGAACGACACAGGTGTACATAATGTGATGTGCTTCAACCTTCTAGTACAGTGTTATTCAATCTTGGGTCTCCAGCTGACTTTGTAGAAGACATCTTAAGGCAGCCCTGATTAGGGAAGTTTTATCATGATGTTTTATCGTGTTTTTAATATTCTGTTGGGAATCGCCCAGAGTGGCTGGGAAAACCCAGCCAGATGGGCGGGCTATTATTATTATTATTATTACTACTACTATTGGCCAATGGTGAGGGATGGTGGGAGTTGGGGTCCAAAAACAGCTGGGGGAACCCAGGATGTACAACTAGTGCAAAAATAAGGATATAGAAAAAAATGTCTCCTGAAAATCTCCCCAAGCTACAAATGAAAGAATGACAAGAAATTAGGAGTGGGGATTTTTATTTAGGCAAAGTACATAACAGCAGTTTAAACCACAGAGACTAGGGCTTGCTGATCAGAAGGTCAGCGGTTTTGAATCCCGTTGCTTGGTCCCAGGTCCTGCCAACTTAGCAGTTCGAAAGCACATCAAAGTGCAAGTAGATAAATAGGTACCGCTCCGGCGGGAAGGTAAATCGCGTTTCTGTGTGCTGCTCTGGTTCGCCAGAAGCGGCTTAATCATGCTGGCCACATGCCCTGGAAGCTGTACGCCGGCTCCCTCAGCCAGTAAAGCGAGATGAGTGCCACAACCCCAGAGTCATTCGCAACTGGGCCTAACAATCAGGACTCCCTTTTACCTTTACCTTTACATAACAGCAGCCAGTTTGCACCTAGAAAGCTACACAAGCCAGAATCTTTTGTTAAATCACTCAGCCATTTAATAATGTTCTAGTCATTATTAGCATGAATGCCTCTTCTCTTGGCTACCCCATATGGACTATCAGAGATGCATTTGCCCCTTTTTTGTGTATCAAAGTGTTGCTTTTATTCACTCTCACTCCATGCTTATTAGCATCTACAGGAAATACAATAAAGGTGATTGTCTAGAACAGCAGGTTACTCTTTCACATAGCAAAAAGACAAGTTTCTATCCAGTTCCCTAATCACAATGCATCAAGCATCTTTTTTAAAAAGCAGGAAAACAGTGTGATGAGAGTCAGTTCAGCATAACTAGCAGAACCAAGCAAAAATTATTAAAAATACTTCTAGCTACACTATCATTATGTGGTTTCAAAAGAAATCTTTTTGCTGAGGATTAATTGCTTTCTGTAACGGGTTTCTCTGTTCATCCACATAATTCTGTTTGTTGCATGTCTGGTCTGTTGTTATGCTAAATAACAGGGTTTTGAAGATATCGAACAAGAAACAGCTTAGTGCATGATAGTTTGGGGACACAAACATTTCCATTGCCCAGATTTATTGCGTAATGAATTTTGAATCCCAGACACATCTGCTGCTTATTATTTATTGTTGCCGTTAAATAATTTGAGAGCATAAGTTACTGGAGGAATTGTTCAAAGTTAGGGCAAGATCCCAGATCATCGAAATAATTAGGAACATTGCCAAAGTCCACAAGTCTAACTCAGTTTAAATAGTGTTTTCCGTTATATCTACATTCAACATTTAAAGGATTGTAAATCATAGGTTTGCCTGACAAACCCTTTGCCAATACCAGTATGAAGTGATCTGGTTCACACTTTCACACTTTTCTGAATTTCAGGATGCCTTCACCCCGAAAATGTGTTTATAAATATGTTAAGAACTGCATATTGTGTGACAAAATATATTTTAAAATAAGTATTTAAGTGTGAATTCTCATGCAGATGTAACACACATTAATGCAGAACTGGAAAGGAACAGACTTAGGAATGAAAAAATGTGAAAGTGACGCAGATGGGAAATAACTTGATCCCTTGTAAAACACTAAGCTACTTGAACTGGAATTCTTGGTAGATTTTTTAAAAGGGATTATATTTATTTTAATCTTTCCCTATCAAAGAAAAACAAGCAAAAAATCAACAAGAACTCAAAGCATATGCATTTGGTTACAGCAAACATAAGAGCAAAACAAGTAGTCAACAGAAAATCATAACACGTGCACAAATCAACACTTAGCGAAGCAATCAGGGAACCGCCACAGAAGTAATCATCTAGCCAAGCATAAAGAGAAGAAGGAAAATTAACTCATTCAACCTATAACATCACTCCATAAAGCCACATGAGTTGATGGAGGGGGCCTATTATGCTCTTTGACTGAAACATATTTAATAAAACAAAACCATTTCACATAAAACTTTTTTTTTCTCCTTGGAGTCTTCCGTTCCCTTAATTGACAAGGGTCCCCCCACCCCCATTTAGGGCCACCAACCAAATCTGAGAATACCACTCCTCAAATTAGGTGCTATTCTGCTAATTTACCATTTCAGGATACCACTATGCAGGTTGCAATATAAAAGGAAACCAATGCACTCTGATAAAGTGCCTTTTTGTCTCCATTATCTAAAATGGACAACAGTGCCAGAAGTGGATCTGGTGACAGCAGCTGCCCCATAATCAGTTGGAGCTCATAGAAAACCTTCTTCCAAAGCTCCTCAATCACTGTGAAATGACCTAGTCCTCCACACAACGTCCAACGATTGGGACTGTACTATGTGTTATCCTATTCAGAGACTGAGGAGTCAGATATCACCTATGAATTTAAAACAATTCTCTTTAAATCTTGCTGATGAAATGGAGCTTTCTCCCACACATTCTCCCATTTTTTCTGAATTCCCTTACCACAATAAGGTACTAGCAGATTCAGCCAGAAAAATAATAATCCAAATCTGCAATTATCTTAGTTTGCAAATGAATGCTGATTAACAACAACCTTCCTGCAAAGTGTGCCTTTGATCTGAGATACCATATTTCTCCAGATAGTTTAGATTTGCTGCTTTGTCTAAGACCATTCACTGAACTTTACAATTTGGAAAGAATTTGGAAAATATCCAGTTCTAAAAGTCTGTCAGCTGCAGCACTGAAGTAAAAGCAGGGGCAGAGCTTAGTAATATGGTGCCCTGAGTGAGGGCAAAATATCTCTATTTCTTCTTTTCACAATAATTCCTTTTGGAAAAGAGTTTGTTGAAGTGCCCTCCCCCTTCTTGCCTTCTGTTCTGGGCATGCTTTCAAGTGCACTGTTTGGTCTGAGAAAGTGCCCGCATTGCCCTAAATCTGGCACTGTATAAAGACTCACATTGTATTTGGGAATGGCTACCCGGGTGGTGCTGTGGGTTAAACCACAGAGCCTAGGGCTTGCCGATCAGAAGGTTGGCGGTTCAAATCCCCGCGACGGGGTGAGCTCCTGTTGCTTGGTCTCTGTTCCTGCCAACCTAGCAGTTCGAAAGCACGAAGTGCAAGTAGATAAGTAGGTACCGCTCCAGAGGAAAAGTAAACGACATTTCCGTGCGCTACTCTGGTTTGCCAGAAGCGGCTTAGTCATGATGGCCACATAACCTGGAAGCTGTACACCAGCTCCCTCAACCAATAAAGCGAGATGAGCGCTGCAATGCCAGAGTCATCCTCGACTGGACCTAATGGTCACGGGTCCCTTTACCTTTTACCCAAGTACAATAAATATACACCTTTGATCAAGTGTGGAAGGAATGCCTCCGTATACAATTGGGCATGTTCATTTAAATATTCATAAGCAAAGTCCATATTTTTCCAAGTTGCTACTTCAGAGTATTTTTAAGAGGAGCATTCCAAAGATGATGTCTGTGTGCACAGTTCACATTTGCAGAGAGCCTCATTTATTTTGCGTATCTATACTGAAATAAAAAGTGAATTGCCCTTAAGTCATGGAATATATATCTTTCAAGACGCTTCAGACTACATCTTTCAAATCTCTAAAAATGGTGTAGGCAGTTACTTCCTGCTTCTGATGTTCAACCTTTCATCTACTGGTCTCGTAAACAGTCCTACAAGCCTGGCTGATGAAAATTAATATTTAAGAACACCACTTGTATCTTGGCATGTCAGAGGAATCTGTTGAACATGGACTACCAAGCAGATTTTCTTCTATATTTTTGTTTGACCCCCATCACAGCTCAGACTCTTGCTATGAATTCTTTTCACCTTAGTTCTCTACAACAGAAGCATTTTGTTAAACATACACACATTGTATATAAATAGATACACAAACTGCTTTGCAGTGGGTGTTAAACGTGACACACATACCTGACCATTTTTTTTGGTAAAGTATACACATTTGTGAAATAAAGTGTTGCAATAAAAAAGCTGTTTATGCAGTTAGATGCGTGAGAGAGGCTGCAATCCTATCCCCGCTTACCTGCAAGTAAGCTCCATGTAATTGAATGGGACTTACTTGTGAGTAGACATGGTTAGAATTCCAGCCATAGGTGCCTTTGTAATAGGCCATTAGCCACTTCATTAATTTTATCTTTAAAGTGCCACAAGACTCTTTGTTTTGTTAGTACAAAAGACTGTAACAGGGCTACACTTGTAGAAATGCATTAACTTTGAAAGGACAAGGAAGGCAATTGATTTGTAAATATCTATGGATGGCTGAGATGTTTGTCTCTATTGTGTACTATGATAAATGGAAAAAAAGTACATCTATTTCTACATCAGCAGATGATGAAACAGGAAAAAAAAAATACTTGTGCAAAATAAACCCAGAGGCTGTTTTAAGGTAGCAACACTGGGCACTGGCACTGCAGGGGACACTGTATCAAAGATGTAGAACAGAGTGTGAGAGGCGCCAAATTTTAGCATTGCACAGGGTGCCACTGAAACTTGAGAGCCCAAAGTCCACCACTGATAGACCAATTGCAATGGGACAGAAGGCAGTGTGAATGAATGTTGGAACAGATTGAGGCACCTTTCTATGTTCCTATTTGCATCCCATTGGTTCTTGATCATTGAATCTAAACTTTATCCTAGAGGAGCACTGAAATATACTCAGAGTTAAGTGTTGACAGGCCAATCAGGTTGCTGATTCGCTTCCTCCTGGAGCCGGATTGGGCGGCTCCTGCAGACCAATCAGGTTGCTGCCTTCTAGGATCCTACCTGCCTATTGTTCTAGGATCCAAGCTCAGTACATAACAAGCACAAAGAGAATTGAAAGAGAAAAAAGAGAGGAATGAGAAGAAACAGAATACCTTCCAAGTAGGATATTGCCTAGGATAAAACATTCACATCTACACCACAAATATAAAACTAGTCACAACCAGTCTAACCCAGTACAAACTCCTCCAAGCATCCCTGGGGATTTAGTAAGGAATTATGTGTGATTCCTGGTGTCTAGTTCAAAATAGGTTTTTTTTTTGTTTAAAATCCACGGTGCTAAACTAGTTTAAAAGGCAAGGTTACATTTGCAGTGAAGATGTGCCCAGGACTCCGGTAGTAAGACCAAAGCCAGTGTTCAGCAGGAGCTTGCTCCAGTCTGGTGCCCTCTGCATATTTTGGATTACAACTCCTATCTGCTGCAGCCAGCATGACCAATGGTCAGAGATCATGGAAGTTATAGTGCAAAACACCTGGAGAGTACCATTACCAGGTTGGGGAAACCTGATACATACTATCATAGTTTACTTCCTGAAGTACTAGTTAGTGTCCAGGCACAGTGTGTCTAATGTTGTTGGGGTAGAGAGTGGAAACCAATAATGACAGGGCAACATACTGGGATCAAACCAACCACAACTTTTATTGATTGCAGGTATCAGTTGGCTTTGGCATAGGCATTGAGTGTGAATCCTGAATCATCCAACCTGTACTGGTGACAGATTATTCCTTCAGGGTCAATCCTGGGTTATGAATTACCTCATGATGTGCACCAAATTGAACCAATCTTCCAGGATGCCATTCAAAATGTTCTATGGCCCATTAACCCCTGTTTGGGCATTCAGACAGAATCCGTCCCCCTGGATTCCCTTTCTGAGGTACCCAGATTCCTTGAGAGAGGAATCGGGGTACAGCACCAATCTTCCCCCAATGCTGGGACTAAGCATCCAGCTCAATGCCCCTTTTCTACCAGCAAGTTGTGACAATTGCTGTGAGGAAGGCAAAACTTCAATTTTGTCTGTAGGTGAATTCCTCCTTGGCCCAAAATATGGTAAATGAATAATTCCACAGCAAGGTCCAAGCATGAACTGTCCAACATGCCTACTGCATGATTAGTGTCAAAACATTAGGACGGGACATCTGATGATATCGTGAGCACAGTCAGTTCAAATAAAAAGAAGGCTGACCTGAGTGAAGCCCATCCAGGGTAGACTTCACCCAGGTCTGCCGAATAATGACCCACCCCTTAGTTCACCTATGATTGGCCAATTCCTGGGTATGTCCAGTCAACCATCATGGCCAACGGAGGAAACGCTATCTGTTGGCCATGTGGGAAGAGTTGTTCTCCGCCTGCTGACTCCCCATAGACACGCCAGGCCACAACTGCTGCCACTGCCAAAAATGGTAAGTGGACTTGTTGTGAGTGTGTGTGTGTCTCTGTGTGACCCAAACAAACTTTTAATGATGAATTTACCAGGCTTTGCAAGGCAATTAATATCCTCTGGGATTGGAACAATTCAAGTGCTAACCTCACTTAGGATTGAATTTACCTGATATTTCCTTCAAATTGCTTCTCGAGCTCTTAATTTCCAAGGCATGAAATTTCCAAGGCTGTTGATTTCTTGGTATTTGAGCTCCGCTTGAGATCTATTTCTTATGCTGTTGCTTAGCTATTATATTTGATTATTAAATAAATAGTTTCTCCATTTTCAAGTAGTTTTGCTTTTGCATGCAAGGAATGCTAATTTCATGTTTACCACACAATCCCATTGAAGGGGGAGGGAGACAGAATCACACAGCAAGTGCAACATCCAGCCATCAGTGGCTGAAATTGAATATTTATGGTGGAAAATGACAATCCCCCTCTTCCGTATTTCACAATGAGGTTGTAGTTCCATGGTGTAGTCAAATGTGGAAAGGACCCATGCCTATCATATCGGATATGGTAAAAGAATCCTATGAAGGAGGTCTTTAAAAAATAAGGTAGTTGTAAAAATAAATAAGAGAATACACTCACTTCATCCCCTCCCTACACTCAGATGATTAAACCATGCCATTTTACATTAAAGCTGTTTTTACCAGGAACTTAAAATTGAACTTATTTATTTTCTTTCTCTTTTAAAAAAGACTGCGTAGTCACAATGGTAACCAGAAAACCACCCCTCTAAAACATCAATGTGCCTCTTGTGCCTTCACCTCCAATTCTGCCTTGTGCAGCCTGGGACTGAAAGGAAAAACAAAGGCAGTTTGCTATTCTTGTTGCTAGAAACACACAATGTATGTAGTATGGAGAGACTCACCAGAGAGTTAAATGTCTCTCGTTCCTCCACAATTCATCCAAACCTGCCCTTCAAAGGCAGAACTCAGCCTATGCCAGGTAGCCTGATTCCAGACCATGTCTCACTCACTACCAGCCTGTCTTTGATGTCCCAGTGACTGCCAGCACTTTAGAGTCGCTGTTGGAGTCATCACTGCAGAACTGAATATAGAGCAGTTGGAAGGGTCTCCTGGAACATTGGTTGCCTTATTTCTCCTGGGAGACTGGAGAAGAAAACCAGCTCACCCTGGAAAGTCTAGCCAGAGGGAGGATGATAGAGGCAGGCAGCTCCTGGCTAGCTTTATTCATTATTTTTACAAATGATGTTCAGGACTTGGGGACACCTGCTAGAAGGTGTCCCACTCCTCTTTCTCTACACACTTATGCTCTGCACACGAGTAACACATGAACACTTGTTTTTGTCAAATATTTAGGCTCTAATCCATACCAGAGACCTCTCCAGATGTTCTTTTTATTGCATATTCATGATGATTTCCCCCCATAATGCTATTGGAGCAGTCATATACTGTTCAACAACATTTCCAATACTATTTCTGCCTGCAAAAGATTTGGGGCGATTATACTGATTTGTTGCCATGTCAGTGCATATCCTGTAATTTTTGGAGGTGGATAGGGGTTGTCCCGCCTTTGTGATGTCCTGCATATGTTGTTGGAATACAACTCCCAGCATCCCTGACTATTGGCCATTCTGTCTGGAGTTGATGGAAGTTGTAGTTCAACAGCATTTAGATGGCATTATGTTGTCTACCCCTACAGTAAGGGTATTTTGCTGTAGTAAGTGTAGCAAAGCTACTGTGGCTTCTAATATTTTCCATTTATATGCCCCTAGCATTTCACACTTTGATGCTAAAAAATTAAGCACAGCTGCAATGTTTTACAGTGCAAAATGCTATTTTGTTTTATAATGTAATGCATCGTATTAGACAATACACTTTTCCACACTGAGATTCAGGTCCTGTGGCACAGATTATTCATTACAATTTTAACGAAAGCAAAGTTATAAGGGAAAGACACCCTGAAAGTTGTTAAGCCTTTCAGAATGGTATAATGAAATGTACTCCTTATTTCCATAGTAAGCAGCAGGATTATTAATAATAAACAACACCTTCCTTTTCATGAATATTTCATTGTAGAGTTCAATGATCTACAGGGGATAGCATCTGCTTTTCCATAAACAAAGAATTTAATGACATGAATATCTTTACCTTACTGATGGGCTGCATATGCAAAAGCCACTCCTAAATAAACTGTCGACAGTAAATTCTCATCAAAACTAACTTATATATTGTACAGTGTTACTAATATTTATAGTATAAGCTTAACACATTATGTGCAAGTTCCCAAGGAAGAAGGACTGGAGACTGAGACTGAAACTGAGATGTTAACTATGATATGTTATAACTTTGAAGCATGCTTCTAACTTTAGGTCTTGTTTTATGTTTTTATTATTTGTGAATATGTGTGTGTGTGTATTCTTGAGGATAGCAGGCCTTGGGGAATGTGTATATATCAGCTAAATTCTGCACCTTCTTCAGCGTTTATGCATAATCTTCAGCAGGACTTGAGGAATGTGTCTCAACCATATTTTGTACACCACTTAAAGCTTTCACTACAATCAAGTGGTATAAAGATTTTGTTCAACACAACACAACACAACACAACACAACACAACACAATATACCTTGCAGGCAATATACACATTCTCCAACAGGTATGCACGGTCTCCAAGAAACACACCCTTTTTTCCTTACCCCTTGTTCAGAGTACCTCTTGGGCTGCTTTTTGCCCACTGCCTAATCTTACTTGGCCCACAACATCTTCTCCCACCAATTAGAACAGCAGCAGGAAGGAGTGATGAGGTTCCAGATAAAAATTGACTTTTTTACCTGCAGTCCAATCCCCTTATCACCATTCTGACCTGCTCTCCAGTCAGTTGAGCAGTACAAGAAATGGCAATGGGTAGCATCAGAGGAGTGTTTCCCATTGTTATTGACTCCCATGCTGCTGTTAAGTTTTTTCTTTAGCTTAATACCAACAGGGAGGGATTTGCATTTGAATCATGGGAGAGGGAGGTAAGGTTGAAAACTGTCCTCTCCCTGCTCTCTCTTGCACTGCTCAGCTGACCAGGGAGCAGGTGAGAATTGCTCCCCTTTTGTTTCACCTGAGTGAATGGGTGCCCCTTCAGATGGCAATAGCAGTATGTCATTGGGGAAGCATCAGAGAACAACTAATAAACTGAGATATTGTATGGGCAGTTCAATATAAGCCCTTTTATTGCACCAGTGATTTCAGGTGTAAATACACCTGCAAAAAGTCAGCAGTCCTGTATCTGGTCACAGACTAAGGAGATGTTGCAGCAGAGGCTCCATAAGGTGCTATGCAGGTTTCCAGTTAAATCAAGGGCTGCAGGGCAGAACATACAATGGTTTGGAAATATAAAATCTACCTGTGCAGCATCGTGTCAGTCAGTTAATACTAAACAGAAGACTGATAAGGCTAATTCACTTAAAGATATGTAAATTTAAATTAAAAGAAGTTCAGCTGTTCCAATAAGGGAGTCACCCTGACATCGCCATTTCTGTGAGCAGCATAATACACAAGCTGGGAATTTATGGACCATTGCAACATTAATAGCCATTACTTGGAATTGTTTGAAAAGGCACCCCTAAGAAGTTTGTAAAAGTAGAGTCACTATTTGCCATATGCAAATCTGCTTATGCATGTTGAGGGCTTAAGTAATGTCTGATTATCAGGTTATCGCTTGTGTTTCTCATTTATATCAAGCAACGCCAAGATTCCAGTGGAATGCAAATTCCACTTTCCACTCCTTGCATAGTACATGAGAGAAAACATGTCAGCTAGAAAAGTCTGTGGTAGTGTTACAGTTAACAGACCCGAGGCATCTTGCAGTTCAGGCAGGTTTAAAATGGCATCAGCATTTAATGTGTTCAAAAAGAAAATATAGCTATAATAAGACCCATTTTGAAATGCGTTCCTTTAGCATTCAAACTTTAATAGTGATATTTATATCTAGTAGCACTCACCTGAATACCATATGAGTAACCTTGATAGCACATAAATGAACTGATTTATGTTTGAAACTGGAAAAAGTGGGCTACAGCAGACGAACAGTATTATCACATTTGTTCTAAAAAAATAATAATGCAGCCCCACTTTTCAGGCACTGGTGAGGATGGGAGAAAAGGAGCTTTTATTCTGAATGACTATGAATGGATTTTGAATATATATTCAACACTTTTGTAAATTTTGCAGCTCATCAGATGGAAATACTGAAACAGTCAAGGATAAATTGAGCACAGAAAAATGTTTTATAGGTGCTATTTAGGCATTTGTAGTTTAATTTAGGCATTTGGAGTTGTGGCCTGAGAAAATCTGTATTACAGGATTCCATAAGACAAGCAGTGGTTCACATGCTGGAGGTTATAAAGCGCTGATGTGTATTATTCAATGAAATGAAACGGAGTTGACAGCAGAGGTGGCATAAAACCAATGAATGGGTGTGGCTAGGATCTGATTCTTAATACACTTCTGAGACCTGCATCAAGAGACTTGGCTGACAGATGTACAGATTTGCTTTCTATAGAAGTGCATTTTTGTCAGGGATCAACTTGGCTCCAGTAAGGGCAAGAATTAAATAAATGACTTCCATGAAGGAAAGGGATTTGCCAAACCTATAGAAATAGGGCACCTAGCAAAGTGAAAATAAATACAGTGTGACAATTGGCTTGATGGCAGTTGCTACTACACTGGGTCACTGATTTTGTGCCATCTGTTGTTTTTCAGTGCAACTCAGAAGATTGGATTTTCACCTCACTGTGTGTTTGCTGCATTTTCAATTCACTGTACAAGCTGCTAGAATGCCACCAGGCAGTAGTGATCAGACCTATCCTTTGTATCGATACTGAAATTTAGGATTTGTATGGATGTAAGTGTCGTGGGCTAAAGAAAACATCTTCAAAATGGACCGTGTATTTCATTTTTGGGGAAAAAAAATAGAGGGTTCTATGTGCTTTTTTCAATACAATGTGAGTTCAGATTTACAATTCCAATAGAAAACATAGTGTCAACCTTTGAGAACCCATGGGCACATTTGTAAACAGGAAACACTATTTGTGGCAACCACATTTGTGGGAACCATGTGGGAAGCACAGGTGGCAGCTTTTTTCCTATTAGCTATAATAATACACATGAGTAGGAGTCCGGCAGAGACAAATGCCCGACTGGCATGTTCTCTCCCTCCTGGTTGGCCGGGAGATTCAAAATCTTTCTCCAGCCTGAACATCACAGCGACTGATACCTAAGAGGCATCAGCACACTTCAGGATCAGCAGAGTATAGGTAGTCAGCATACAGACTCAGTAGCGCAGCAATTTGGCTAAACTACATTTATTTACATATACACACTTGGAGCATCATAACTCAGCTCCTTCCTCTTCAGCATCAGACAGCAAAGAGAAAGAACAGAAGGGCAAAAATCCTACATCACGGAAACACAGTAATAAAAACATCCTGTCTCCGTCACTTCCCACAATGTGGAATGAAAACATACACCATCATGTGATAAAAACAATCCCATGACTGCAACATGGGGAATAAACCCTAACAGGGGGTACTCTGTGGACTCCAAAGAAGGCTTCTGAGGGCACCTCTGTGCCCATGGGCACCCCATTACGAACATTAAAATAGCCCTGCTAAATCAGCCCAATGGCTCATCCAATCAGGGATCCTGTTCTCACAATGGCCAACCAGACATCCATGGGAAACAGCCTTTGTGGACAACCCCTGCTTTAGCAGTCAAAACAAAATTTAGCTTTAACTAATAAATATGAGGGTTTCACCATTAATATTGGCTTCATCATTCGTACCAGATTTCTAAAATGTGCAAACTAGCCAAGACTGCATGAAACAACAGCTTATATCAGGAGAAATATGCACCGAAAAGATTGTGAATTTTCATAAGGACATAAAAAATAACAACCCTGAACTTAAGTTTGGAAAAACAGGAAACCAAAAGAAAGTGAAATTGCCAATTTTGTCCATCCCTAGGCAAGATAAGAAGGTGCTTAAGTGTCCCACACCTGCCAATTCTCTCCAGCAAATACCATCCCCATCTCCTGAGGCTATTGTTCCCCAGACAGGCTTCCTACTGGACTTGAGTGGGCAAAAGTAAGCTAAAAGTGGCCGGAGGAAATTAACATGTGGAGGATGGGTTGAGCACTCCTCTTGGTGCCTGCAAATACTACCCTCCATCTTCTGCATTAGCATTGTAAATATGGAGTCAGGGAAACTTTGTGTTTTTCTACTCTCCAACCCCCACACTCGGAAATGTCACTTATGATGAGAAGAACCCTTCTTTGCATTGTTTTAGCAAACACAGTTTGGGGAACAGATATACCATTTGCCAGAGTAGTTTCCAGTTGCTTGGAAATGTGGCAAGCAGAATTTAAGATTGGGAAAATGTGAGAAACGAAACTGGTAGATTCATCTCACAGCAGATCCACATTTAAGGTGGTGAGGGCAGTTCCCCACATAAGGCTGAGGTGGTGCCAAGAAAGGGAGCTGCGTTTTAGAGTCTCCTCCTCATCCTCAGCCATAAATAAGGCTAATCGCCAAAGAATTGATGCTTTTGAATTATGGTGCTGGAGGAGACTTTTGAGAGTCCCATGGACTGCAAGAAAAGATCAAACCTATCCATTCTGAAGGAAATCAGCCCTGAGTGCTCACTGGAAGGACAGATCCTGAAGCTGAGGCTCCAATACTTTGGCTACCTCATGAGAAGAGAAGACTCCCTGGAAAAGACCCTGATGTTGGGAAAGATGGAGGGCACAAGGAGAAGGGGACAGCAGCGGACGAGATGGTTGGACAGTGTTCTCGAAGCTACCAGCATGAGTTTGACCAAACTGTGGGGGGCAGTGGAAGACAGGAGTGCCTGGCGTGCTCTGGTCCATGGGGTCACAAAGAGTCAGACACGACTAAACAACAACAACCTCATCCTCCACCTTTCACTTCGCAGTGAGATTTGTCTTAAAAGGGAAGGGGCAGGGAGAAGGTCTAGAAAATCCAAAAAGTGAGCAAGGTGCATCTCTTTCCACCACTTCCACATCCTTTCCTCTTTCTTTCAAAACCAAACCTTGTTTCCTTTGCCCAGGAGGAGGAGGACTGAATGGTGGGAGGTACCTCCCCACCCTCTTAGACATAATGCACAAGAACAATAAGGCAGGTTTGGAGAGTGGATGTGATGGCCTGGGAATCCGATTCAGAGGCTGAACCGGAGGAATCCCAGCCTGCACAGGAGTCCCCGCCTCCAGGGCCGGCTGAACTGGGGCAGGGCCTTGATTCTGAAGCACCTGCACCTGTGCCGGATCCTCAGGAGCAGGCACCAGGTGAATCCACTCTGGCTCCGGAGGTGGTTGAGGACACGCCTCTCCCAGCCCTGTCAGGGGAAGGTGAGTCTCCCCCTGGGTCCAGTAACCCTCCAGCCTCTCCTGAGCTGCAGAGGCTCATGGCAGAGAGGCGGAGGGAACTGGTTTCTCCCAGGAGGAGTGCTTGCCTTAAGGCCAGGAGAGGCAGGTCTCCTGGGGGCCGGGACCGCCCCTGGCCTCAGAGAAGATAAAGGCCAGTCAGCCCGGTCCCAGGTTGCAGGAGCAACATTGTTGAAGAGCTGTTTCGGCCAGCACCCTGTCCTGTTCCTCCAGAGTTCCTGTCCTTGCCCGGCTCCTCGCTTTGGACCCTGCTTCGCCTGTGGAGGACTGTCTGCCGACCCTCGACTCAGGTCCTGGACCTCGCCCCATGGTAACCTCCCCCCGGGACCAGCACAGTGGAAGCCAAAGGGAAATGGTTTATCTTCAGATTTATTTATTTTTTAAAAGTCAATGGCTTTTCTTTCTTTTCTTTTTTCTTTTTGGAGAAAAAGGGGAGGAAAGGGGGGGATTTCTGAAGCACTGAAGTTTTCTTTCTGCTTGAGAAAGATGGCTAGAAAGGGGGGAAGGAAGAAGGAAAGGGGGGGAATCCAGAGAAATCCCTCTGACACCTCTTTGTTAGTTGTTTTTGTTGTTGTATTGCCTGGGAGGGAAAATCAGGCTGCGAAGGAGAGGAATAAAGGAGAGGATAGGATAGGAGGCGGGGAGAGCAAAAAAACTGCCAGCCTCCTGTTGCACCAGTGCAGCTGCTTGGCCATCATTGGGGGGTGGGGCGGGATTGGACACACAAATTTGAGCTTGGATAGGGTGCCATATTGTCAAAGTCTGCCTCTGCCCACAGCACCTGAGCAAACTGCACATTTTAATTATGCTAAAAGGTCCTTAAAGCAGGCATTGTTTTGTCCCCAACACCCAAACTGTTCCCATAACACAGTTGCTAGGTCACAGTATGAATATTTAGCAAAGTTCAGCCAGAAAAAAGAGAGCTCCGTAGAGATTACATTATATTTTAATATGTTTCTAATATTGCCCTTGCAGCCACTCTAATGACCTTTTCTTTTGAAAGTTTTGGATGGGATGAATACTTCTTTGCACATGTCTCCCCCTGGAATAAAATGAACTGCAAAACCATTATTATCATTTTATAAATGGTTACTTATTGCCTCTTCTTCCCCAGTTATGTCCTGGTTTACTTGGTATTATTGCTGACTTTTATCCAAGAGCTGTCAGATAAAGATATTAGTTCTGAGCTACCTTGTCTTTCTCATTGCCACGCCAAAGGCAAATGTGTTCTTGGAACAATATTGCAGCTCTGCCAAAGCACTCTAAATGACAATGTTGTTAAACTTTCCTGTTATAATGGCATTCACATTGGATTGCACAACCAACCCAGACAGCTCTTTACAGATTTCATTCCCATCTCTCGCTGAAAGGTAAAGGTGAAAATTTTGCACAGCAGAAAGATAAATAAACAGCCATGCTTCAATCTGAACATTGTGCCAGATCAAATAAACATCTAGAAAGCTTTAAAAAAATCAATCCAATGAATAAATTAGATAAGTGATATAAAAAGTCTAGCTTCTTCAAACAGGAATTTTAGTAGATTTCTGTTTAGCAAAATGGGGGAGCACTCCATTTCAACCACAAATGTTCCACCTAAATGCCTTTGCAGCAGAATTCAGATGCCATAAAACTGTATGGTTAAGATATCTTTCAAACTTTGCTGGTATCAGTTAAAAAACCACATTTGGCTTCCGGTAGTCTTGCAAATCCAAAACCCAAAAGATGAATTAAGTTTTCTGTCTAAAGTGAGCATATTTGTATATTATATAGGATTGTGGCCTTGGGATCTGGAAGGAAAATGCAAGTTTAAGTTTGGGGTTTGCAGATGGTCACAACTTTCATTTTCCATTTAGAAGACAGAGGAAGAAATCCCATGTTACAGTCACCAGCAAGATACAAAGCAGCCCCTCAGAGATGCATCCCTGGGAGAACCTGATTACAGGGGTCAGCAAACTTTCTCAGCAGGGGCCGATCCACTGTCCCTCAGAACTTGTGGCGGGGGGCTGAACTATATTTTGAGGGGGGGAATGAATGAATTCCTATACCCCACAAATAACCCAGAGATGCATTTTAAATAAAATGACACATTCTACTCATGTAAAAACACGCTGATTCCTGGATCATCCGTGGGCCGGATTTAGAAGGTGATTGGGCCATATCCGGCCCCCAGGCCTTAGTTTGCCTAGCCATGGACTGCATGGTGCATGTCCACCACATTTGGAATGGTTATGCAGTCTCCAGTAGCCTCAATGAATGGGAGCTCTACATGGTAGGAGCTGATAAGTGATTACGAGATGAACAAAAATAAATTGACACAGGAATGCTAGTTTTAAGCAAGACACATGTCTGAATTTATTTATTTATCTATGTCATAAAATCTATATACCACTTGCTTGTAAAAAAACAAACAAAAAAAAACTCAGTTTGCAAAAACTGACTTATATTCTGCAGGGATCATCCCTTCATTCA